TCTCACCTTGACTCCCTGCGGCACTGCGCCCCCCCAATCAGGACAGAACACCCTTTTCCTTGGCCCGTATCTTTTCTTTCCCCTTCTTCCCTTCTCTCGGTTCCTTCTTTCCACTCTCACCTCACGGTGCTTCCTGGGCCTATGTCCATCCTATATACATCATCTCAGCCCTTCCCACCCCCACGGTTATATTCTTTTTTTGGACATTAGTCGTGCAGCGGTATTTTTCTATTTCTGTTGGACAACAAAAGTCTTCTTTACTCCACGCGCCTCTTTGAAAGAGTTGTCGTGCCATTCCTTTCTATCCTTGATTTCTCAACAACACATCCGTCCCAACGTTTTGTCTCTCGTCGCGGCCACGCAGCCAACGCTATTTCGCAACCGAACCTTGTACCCCTTTACCGAGAAAAAAAAATCGGCCACTACCTGGACGATTGCGAGAAAATAAGCAGACTCTCGATCAGGCACAAGAAGGGATAATTCTGGTGTCTTCCTTGCGACGCTACTTCCTCATCCTCCCTCTCTTCCCTTCGTGACGCCGACCGTCGCCAGACCAGACTCAACCCCGACCCCTGGAAACCGCATGATGCTCTTTGTGTAGCGCAGCCACATCTGACGCGACTACGTACACCATCACGGCCTGCCCGTCTGAGCATCACGCATCCAAATACATATAGGGAGAGCGTAATCAAATACGACCTCCCTCACGACACCGCAAAGGGACACCTCGAGCTAGCTCCCAACCCTGTCAAGGGTTACGGCGACCATGTTCAGTCCACCCAGCTCCCGCAGGTCGAGGTCCATCCTCCTCCTTGTTCTGGCCTCAGTCACCGCGTACTACCTCATCTTCAGCGGTCCCACCCCCAGCCTCCATGTCATCCCATACGTCAACAGCGGCGGCGGCGACAGCCCGGACCAGGCCCAGCCCGGATCCGGCGAGCAGGTCGCTCTCAAGGACCGTCCCAACAACAGCCCCTGGAACATTGACATCAGCGAGATTGACGGATGGCAAGACCCCGATGACAACGAGGACCCCAACGATGTCGAGCCCGGAGAGGAGCTTGACGGTACCTGGAGGGACCCCGGTGCCATCGCCAGGCTCAAGAAGGAGAAGGACTCTCGCCGACTCTGGAGGTATCTCTACAAGGTTACCAAGGAGTAAGTCGCTTGCCCCGTCCTTCCAGAGACTAATCTTGAAGGGAACCCATGCTGACATGAGAAACCCAGCCTCCCCGGCTCCAACCTCATCTACGGCAACACCCTCGACACCCTCGACTACAAGGAGGACCGCACCCCGGCCCAGGCCGCCGCCCTCAGGGAGGACCCCGATGTCGATGTCAGCTTCACCGAGGAGCAGCCTGTCCGCTTCAACCCCTACCCCGACTACAACAGTGACGAGTGGAAGTCGTCCAGGCACGCTCCTTACGTCCCTTGCAAGGGTGCCACTGGCGAGCTGATCGAGGATCTTCTGGTCTTCAAGGGCCGTCCCCACGACTTCCCCGAGCCCAGGATGGGTCACTACGACCCCTTCGGCCTCGACTTCAACATCTGCTGGGAGCGCGAGACTCGCCTGGGCCCTTACGGCTTCACTCAGCAGATGAAGAAGATTGGTGGCGAGTCGGAGCCCGTCGACTGGGACAATGTCAACTGGGGTGACCTGCAGCGCCGCTGCGTACACAAGAACGCCAAGCGCTTCGACCTCCACAAGAGCCGCGAGAACCCCTACCTGGACGCCTACCCCGAGACGGCCAAGGACGTCAAGGTGGTCAGCAAGGAGCAGCGCGAGGACGAGGTCGAGCCGTCGTCCGAGGTGATGAAGCGTGACGCCAGCAGCAGCTTTGACGCTGGGGCCGTCGAGGAGCCCACCCATGGCAGCGACCAGGGTTACAATGCTGAGAAGCGCACCGCCCTCCTGCTGCGCGCCTACACTGGCAAGGAGTACACGGAGAATGACAAGCACTTCATCCGTGCCATGATCAACGAGCTGTCCCTCAAGTCTGGGGGCGAGTACGAGGTCTACCTCCTCGTCCATGTCAGGGAGAAGGAGCTGCGCATCTTTGACGATCCCGAGACCTACCAGAAGGTGCTCCACGACAACATCCCCCCCGAGTTCCACGGCATGACCGTCCTCTGGAACGACGAGGTTGTCGGAAACATCTACACCCAACTCACCGACAGCAACGAGCGCAGCGTCCACACTGCCCAGTGGCTCTCGGTCCAGAAGTTCAGCCACGACCACCCCCAGTTCGATTTCATCTGGAACTGGGAGATGGACTTCCGCTCCACCGGCCACCACTACGACATGCTCGACAAGATCGGTGCCTTTGCCCGACGTCAGCCCCGCAAGGGTCTCTGGGAGCGCAGCGAGCGCTACTACATCCCCGCCTACCACGGCAACTACGACACCGACTTCCGCCAGGACATCGAGGACCGCCACGGCAACGAGACCATCTGGGGACCCCCCGAACTCCCCTTCATCCACCCTGTCGGCCCCAAACCGCCCGTGGACTCGCCCGATGCTGACAACTACGAGTGGGGTGTCGGCGAGGACGCCGACGTCATCACGCTCAATCCCATTGTCAACGCCATCAACAGCAACTGGATCATGGCCAAGGACGTCTGGGGCTACTCTGACGAGAACCACCCCGGATCGGATCTTCCCCGCCGCGTCACCATCGTCACGCATTCGCGTATCTCGAAGCGCCTCCTCGACGTTATGCACGTCGAGAACATGAGGGGCAACCACATTGCTTCCGAGATGACGCCCCAGACCGTGGCCCTCCTGCACGGTCTCAAGGCCGTCTTCGCCCCCCACCCCGTCTTCATGGACCGCGACTGGGACGGCGACTTCCTGGCCAAGTGGTTCAACCCCGGTCTCCACGGTGAGAGCGGAGGCCACTTCAGCCCCTACGGTTGGGGTCGCGAGCGCCGCTACCAAGGAACCACGTGGTACTACCGCGCCGTGCCTCCCAACCGCATGTTCAACAACTGGATGGGCTGGATCGACACCGGCTTCGGTGGCAAGCGCTGGGAGCAGAAGCACGGAAGGCCTTGCCTGCCGTCCATGATGCTTCACCCGATCAAGGATTCCGTGCCCACCAAGAAGGGCTACAAGGGTGATTCCAACCTCCCTTTTGGATAAGACGACTGCTACCCCACACCGACCGCTCCTCCGGGGCTCAACCCGGCAGTGTGGTTTTTTTTCTTTCAACTCGGGTCCTACCCTCACCCGTCTCCATCCGGCTTCATCATTCACATATATATAACGCGGAGACGACTACGGCTCATTGTTCTCATTCCAGAGTGAGAAAGGGAACAGAAGCGCTCTGGCCCTTTTCTTGTTTCTCTCTTTTTTTTTCATTCTCTCACGCAAACGGCTTTATACGATCCAACGAGATGGCGTAGGAAAAGAAAAGACGACGACGACAGCCCCATCTTCCCTCCGATTTCTTCTCTTCTCTTTCCGCGATTTCTTCTTTTATTTCTTGTCTTCTTCTCCATTAAACCTTTCTTTTTCTTAAAAAAAAACCATTACTAGTATTTTTTTTCTTTCACTTTCTTGTTAAATCTTCGCTCCCTTCTCTCTCCGGGCACAACAGCTTCCTTTGCTTTGCAAGAGAGAAGGGAGAAGGACTTTATAGGAAGAGGGGAGATTTGGGAAAGTGTGAACAGGGAGAGGAGTCTCGGGTTCAGGGAGACAGATGGCGTGTTGGTCAACCAAAGGCGAAGATGCACAGCTAGGCGTTTATTTTGTTTGCATATACTCGGGGATGCCTGTCCTAGTCTTTACGAACAGGGTTGAGAGGATGAGTCGTCCGTTTCTTTTTTTTCTCATGTATCGGGGAATATTATCTTGGCTTTCTTCTGTTCTTTACTTTTTCATGTACACAATGATAGAAATCTTGTTTCTTTTTTCATAGGGTCCATGTATGGAAATTGTTTTGTTATGAGTACATGGTGTGTATCGTGTGCGTGTGCAATGTGTGTTGGTACTACTAGTATCTATGTACTCGTATGCGTGTATCTATGTGTAAAGTCATCTAACATATCCCCCCTCTTCCCCACTGCAACCTGAACTCGATCAACAACCGCCATCCATGAGTCTTTTTCAATCTGGATTGTGTACGCCATCCGAATCAAGTCGGATATCAGCTTAGACGGCAAATAAGAAAGGTTGCACAGAGAGAGAGAAAGAAAGAATGGTCGGGCCCTGTCTTTAGAGGGACGCGGGAACCATGAGGTCACGACAATGAGTCGACCACCTAGTGTATGTCTTCTTTTCATCATCGACTCTCACACATTGATATAGAAGAACACACGCACACACGAAAAAAAAAAAGAAGAAGAAAAATAAGAGCACGCAAGGAACCGTCTGACACAGGAGCACACAAGACACCCAGGTTCCTCGTAACCAGACGACCTGGACAGACACCGACATCAACAGCGGAAAGATTTCTGTCAACACCACGTTTCGGGCCACCCACATCGACGCCTCGACCCCCTCAATCTAAAAGGTTGACAGAGGACGTTGACGACGACGACGGCGACGAAGATTTAGTCAAGGAAGAAGGATCTGGATACGAGGAAGAGGAAGAGGAAAGGGTTGAAGCCAGTCCCGAAGCAGTCAAAGTGACGGAGCGCAGCAGGAGAGAAGTGCTTGCCGATTCTATAGACGAATCCGAGTCTGAGCCCGAGCCCGAGCCCGAGCCCGAGCCAGAACAAGAGCCGGCCACGCCCTCTGGAGAGTCAGATTCAGAGGGCGGCGGTGGATCAGTAAATAGACAGTCCAAGCGACGAAAACTCTCCATCACGCCACTTCCAGCCTTTGACTCGTCACCGCAACCTCAGGACGACAACAGCTCCTCTGACCTTGACGATGGCGCGGGGGCACCACAGCACCAACCTACGTTTCACGAACCACCTCGCTTCTTCCGACAGAACGACGAAGGGTACGGCGGCGACAGAGATGGTGGTGACATCACGCTGGCATCACCCCCTCGCAGGGGCTATGTACGCGGTGGCATGGCGGCCGAGCTACAGGGTTGGCTGCACGAGGTGAAAGGTGTGGAGGGCGAGGGCGGCAACCTGGCGTCGACGACGACGACGACGACGACGCCGCGAGTTACTGTCGTACGTGTTTCCGGCGGCGGAGGGGGAGCGATGTATCTTGCTAGTGTAGTCGATGGCATGGGGGCGGAGGAGAATGTTGTGTTGGCTGGGCAGACGGATGGCGTAGGCTTAGTGGCTGGCTGTATAGTTGAGCTGGGGCAGCCGAGGTGGTATGTTTGTGTTGGGGGGGAGAGGTGGCTTGTTGCTTGCCACTGGTGTCTGGTGTGAGTTCATATTCATTCAATCCGAGAATGCGAATGTATTCATATAATTGACTCTGATCCATTTCAATCTACGTGTCTGTTGAAAGAGGTGGCCGTCGTGAGAGCTGATGAACGTATGCACGTATGCGGTATGCGCTAAACGCGATATCATGTCAAGCCCAACCTGGGAATTTGCTACAGGGGGGCTATCTGATATGATACCCCATCGTTGGTATCACGTCGTTCACAAACACTCCCCCTCCTCCTCCCTTCTTCTAGCACTCGCTCTAGAGCGTGCCGAGAGAGACAGGATAATCAGAGGAGAACATGCTGGTTCCGCGGACCCGACCGGCCTTTGCGCTGGGAGGACGGGTTACGACGACGAGACCATGGTCACGATGCACGTACATGACCACCAGTGGGAAAAGGTCTGACCCGCTGCGCATCTTGTTCTGCGGATCAGACACCTTCAGCACGGAGGCGTTACATGCGCTGTACGAGGAGCACAGGTTCAACCCGGAGTTGGTGCAGAGTATCGATGTAGTGGTGCCGCCGGCCAAGATGACGGGACGGGGATTGAAGAAGAAGTCGGTCGGTGAGTCTTTCTTTCTTCTTCTTCTTTTTCAAAAATCTAGAGAGAGAACGAGAGAGAGAGGGAGGGAGGGAGAAATGTTATGGATGAATATGGACGGGAAGAAGAAAAACGGCGATGGAGACACTGGATGAGCTGACCGACTTGTCCATTACAGTTCCTGCGCAGAAAATGGCAGAGAGCATGAAGCTGCCGTACTACGAGATTCCTACGTTTACGGGATGGGAGGTGAGCAGGGTCAGGAATGAAGAGAGGGACTGGACAGAGAAGACTGACAAGGAAGATGCAGATGCCCAAGGGAATCAACCTCATCGTTGCCGTCTCATTCGGCCTATTTGTACCGCCTAGGCTCCTAAAGCAGGCCAAGTACGGTGGTCTCAATGTCCATCCATCATTCCTACCAGAGTAAGAAAACCACACCGTCAGAGTCTCACAACGACACGTCCCCACGGCTTGGGCAAGGCCGGGTGGCGGAGGGGGGGCGGGTTCGCAACGAGTCAGGCGAACGAACAAACACACAAGGCTCACACACTTCATCTTCTTCCGTTGTTGCCAACAGTCTACGCGGGCCGGCACCCATCCACCACGCCGTCCTCCGGGGAGACGACTACGTGGGGGTATCGCTGCAGACTCTGGACGCCGCCCACTTCGACCACGGCGTGATCCTCTCGCAGACTGAGCGGCCAGGCCTGAGGGCCACCAGACACTGGACTCTCAACCTGCTGACGCGCAAGCTGGCTATCGAGGGATCAGAGCTCCTCGTCGAGGGTCTACGTCAGGGGCTGCACGTACCGCCGTACAGCAATGCTGCTGCTGTTGCCGATAATGACGATGGTGCCGACAAGGTGCCGGGCCAGCGACAGCAACAGCGACAACAGCAGGAACGACAAGGACTGCGCCACGCACCCAAGATCAGGACGTCCGACACCGAGATCCGTTGGGATGCCTGGACGGCCGATGACTGGGCGCGTCGGCTGCAGATGAAGCAGGCCATCTGGACCAAGGGCCAGTCTCAGGGAACGCAGGGGCCTTCTTCTCGTCGACTGATCATCCATGACTCGAGACTCGTGCCAGAGGAGGAAGTACGCGGGAAGCGGGGCATCATTGAAGTTTCGATGACGACGACGCCGGCGACACAGCAGCAGCAGCAGCAGCAGCAGCAGCAGCAGTCGACAACGACGGAAACGACATCAACGGAAACAACAACTATAACTACAGCAGCAGCAGCAGCAGCAGCAGAAACCAATCCGGAAACAGAAGCGGCGGGCAGAGGAGAAAGTCCATCACCGGACGTAGTAGATGGCAGCGCCAACGCCGGCGGCCTTGGCGATGCTGCTACTCTCGCTACTGCTGACGCGCTACGGTGCCGAATAACCATCTCGGTGGACAGCCGCAATGGGGACGCATACTTCCTCCTCGGGGGGGGAGACGGTAGCAGCAGCAGCAGCGGCGGCGGCGGCGGCGGCAGCAGCAGCCGTGCATGGATCCGCGTGAGGCGAGCTACGCTGGAGGGTCGGGATGAGAAGCCGGCCGCTGTAGCCGTGAGGCCGTTCATTGTGGAATGGCATCAGGATGCAGCGCCAGTGAAGGCCAAGGATTAGTTACGGGGCGAATGAGTGGCGGAGTTTCCCCTCCCCTCCCCTCCCCTCCCCTCCCCACTACCTACTCGGACGAGCAAGCAAAGAGCGCAAACGGCGTCTCTGCCCCATCTGCTGGAGTCCTCTCTCGTCTTGACCTCCCCCCCATACTTCAAGGCCCCACGAGGGAGAATACCAGCGACATGGCCTGAACAATGTACAATAACAACGATGCTATCTAGGAGGGCATGTAAGGAATAACGCGTTTCTGTGTACGATGACGTATATGAAGATGTTAAGAATATCAAAGGGCATGCGTAAGATGGGGCGGATGGCGAGCTGGAGTTACATTGACGTGCGAAAGACGGTACCAGCAAAGTTGAAAAGTTGATCCTCTTTCTGCGACGGAAAGCGGGAGCCAACCAAGAAGGAGAGAGAGAGAGAGAGAGAGAGAGAGAGAGAGAGAGAGAGGGAGGGAGGGAGAGAGAGGGAGGGAGGGAGGGAGGATAGGTTGTAGCCTGCAGTACCATCGTACTGCTGCTTTCATGATATCGGGTCACGACATAAACCGGAAAGAAGAAAAAAAAAGAAAAAAGTCGGATTGATGGATGGAGACAGCCGAGAAGGGAAAATCCGAATGAGATGATAGACTTTGAACGGTCGGCATCGCACCATTCTAGACCGAGGAAGCCGCCGATGGAGGGAGTCTAGAACTGGAATTCTGGTGGGACGTTGGCTTAACAATGGCTAACGGTGCAGTAGTCCATCTCTTCTCCTTCTCTCTTTTTTTTTTTCTTCCTCTCTCTTCTTCCTCTTCCTCTCCTTTTTTTTTCATGGCGGTATTCGTATCTTGATCCGTAATGCCATGGTTAATTATGGGTAAATATATGCAGAGTGCAGAGTCGTATGAGGGCCGGCGAGTACCGAGTTGGTATTAGACTTGTACGGATATTATTACCATTACTTGCCAACTTACTCGTTCCGGAATGACCCAGGCAGGGCTCCCTCGGAGGAGGAATACCATGAGATATTAGTACAGATTACATGTAACCTACCTGTACAGCTTTGGACAGGGGGATCAATAGCCGTACTCGTACGAAAAAGAAAAAAAAAGGACTAGACAGCTGGAGATTGCGGCTGAAGGTCAGGAAGAATTGCATTGCTGGTAGCCTGGCCTCATGGGCGGGAATGACACTACAAATTATGGATGGCATATTATTAGAACAACAATAGGTGAGATTACTAGAAACCTGACCCTCATCGTGCGATTTTAGGGTATTACGAATAGAGGATTAACACAGGGGGGGGGGGGAGAGAAGGCGCAGCTACACCGATGGCTTCATCACTACGAGCAGAGACTACGAGCAGAGACTACGAGTAGAGAGAGGATCAGTCATGGGAGTGGGGATTGTTTCTCTTGGCATGAAAGCAATAGTCCAAGAGCTTGTCAAGATAAGGTCGTGAGATTCTCGGGATTAGATGGCCTTGGCGGAGAAGGAAAGGTACATGTGTATCTGTATCATCATACGAGCATGTAACGCACATCAACCAAGTCGCTCGGAGAAAACGAAGAAACGGAGAGAAACAAACAGACGATTTGATCGGACTATCGCTGCACGGTTGCAAGCCACGCCGACACCACTTGGGAGGAGCATGCCGTCGTACTCGTACACTCCGGCTAGATTTGATGAGCCATCCCCATCGACATTCTCTTCCATCCCAATCTCGATATCCGCCCGGACCCCTGCATGGCGCAGGAAAGAAAAGAGAAGACGAGGGAAAAAAAGAAGAGAGAAAAAAAAAAAAGAGTTGGGAAAGAAGCCGCCGCCGGCCAAGTGCAAACTTGGCGTTAGCCTCTAGACCGACCGAATCCCCCCGATTTGCTGCAGGCAACCGGGAGAGAGACCCTACCCCCCCCCCCCCCCCCCCCCCCCCCCCCCCCCCCCCCCCCCCCCCCCCCCCCCTTTCCGAATCAAGCACATGCATGCCTTGGCATCTCATCTTTCTACTGTCTACTCGTACGAGTATAATAAGAGCTTCAAGAGCATGACTCGTGTTTATAGGACGGAAGAGAAGGGGGGGGGGGAAGATTCCAATGGAGCGGAAAGATGGCACTTGTAGGGTCATACATCGTATTCTCTCTCTCTCTCTCTCTCCCCCCCCCCCAAAAAAAAAGAAAGGGGAGGGGGAGAGAAAGGGGGGGGGATTAAGATAAAGTATAAGGGGGATTGCCTGGGAGTATTACTATGCCGTATTCATGCGAATAGAATGTCACCTTGCACGAGTAAGTACCATACCATGGGAATGAGTACGGAGTAATGATAACTAGCAGTATCAGCAGGATGATGATGAGTATTATTAATACTGCACGTCTGCATGTAAAATACTATGCCGTGTAATCTGTAGAGCGACGTACGGGTAGAGTGTGGAATGGAGCGGACAAGGGGGAGGAGGGAGGAAGAGCAGACGAGCAGGGGATCCCTGGACCATCAGCCTGCGGGATGACGGCAATATTGCCACGGCGTATGTATTAGCTGGTTATACAGTCTCGAGCCGGCTGCGTATGATTGACCCTTATGCTGTGCTCCCAGCCTGGAGAAGAGAGGAGGGAGAGCAGGGTGCTGATACGTGCTGTGCCCACAGCATCCCGGTACCCGGGCATTCTCTCCAATTCCCGTTGTCGGGCACGGTCACGGTACGAGTATTGTTATTGTGACATTTGTCGTACTATTACTATTATTACATTACCTTGCCGAATTGCTTGTTTCCGAGTCAAAATGTCTCGCTCCTCCAACCCTGGGGGGGGGCTGCCACCCGTTGGATATTGTTGCAGATCCGAGTGAGTCGTCTCAGAACCAAGACACAACGTGGGAAGACAGACAATCGGCAGCTGGTTCCGACAAACTCTCTCCAGACCTCCCCCCCCTCTAGTATCAGCGTGGCAGCGGATAACACTACGACCGAAAACGGTCCCTCTGCTTTCCATCTTCTTCCTCCCACTAGCTTCTCATCCTCGGAGCTAGCGGACAAGACTAGACGAGAGAGAACGATGATGCTCCGTAACCCCCCCCCCATCCCACCCATCAGCTTACCCACTCACTCATGGGCCACGGCGCCCGTGGGGCAGCTATTCTAACCTGCCAGCATGCTGGCAGCATGCTGGGTACGAAGAGGAAGCAATGTTCTAACGTGGTCCGTACCTTGGTACTAGCTGGTAGCGATACTACGTGCCAGCAGACTCACCTTACTGCAAGCGTACACGTACCGTACAGTGAGTGGGTGTACGGGTACTGCTCATAGTGCTCGCATACGACCATGTGCCGATAGTCATAGTCGTGGTGATGGTGATAGTAACGGTAATAGGTACCAGCACGAGCCTCTTCCCATGCTTATTACCAGTCCTGGTACCGTCGAGAAGACAGTTGCTGGAGTCGAGTCGAGGTACCAGCGCTAAACAGTTCCTGCATTAGCATCCAACCCAGCTCCATTGTTTCCGGCCCCGACCATTCGACAGAAGAAGGGCGCGCCGATCTTTTTCTTTTCTCTTCCTCACCTTGTGGGACCGATATCCTCCTTGTTACTTTGCTAGCTCCAGCTCTGGCCCTCTCTCCCCCCTCCCTCCCTCCCTCCCTCCCTCTCTCTCTCACTCTCTCTCACTCTCTCGGCAGACAAGAAGAGTGAGAGAGAGAGAGGGTCCAGCTTTCACCCTGACGCAATCTCTTCAACATGAGGGGCGTGTCCACATCAACAACACCTTTAGTCATAGTCTGCATGCGCAATACCGCTCACGCTGCCCTGAGATGATGCTTTCCCTCATCCGGGCTCCCCTGCTCGTATACCCCCATTTCACTATTGGGTAGACTCGTCCGACCTCAAACCCACAACCCTGGAGGAGGGCTTTCCGGAGAAGCTGTAGAGGAGTATACGCGCAGAATATGCGCAGGTACCCTTTCCGTCCTTGCGATGATACACGTACAGCCCCCCACGGCGGCATGGCGAGTTTACGACTGCATCAACTTTGGGGCCTGCAAGGAGCTGTAAACTTGGGGGTCGTCCGCCCAGCAAGCCCACGGATCACGGTCCCCTAGGATGAAATGGACGACTCGGCCGATCTCGTACCTTCGTCCGACGCCATGCGTTCAGGCATTTCCGGGCTCCTTCAGACCCTCAGTGCTGGTAATTAGCGTCGCCATGGTTGGGTCTAAGTCATGGCTTGTAGCCCAAGCTCGACGGCCTCCCTCCCCCTCCCCCCCCCCCCCCCCCACCACCACGGAGGGTGGGTGCTCGCTCCGTCCGGTGTACACGTAGTGTGTGTGTGTATGTATGCGTGTGTTTGCTTTGCTTGGGTGTGGGTGGTGGGTGGTCCTGAATGGATGGATGTGGATGGATGTGTGCAAGGAATTACTCGCTTGGGATGGTGGCCCCCCAAAACCCAAAAACCTCCTCAAAGCCCACCAACATCCGGATCCTTCCCTTCCTCTCTCTTCTCTTTCCTCTCCCCTTCAACACTCAGTCACTCTCTTCTAATAGCTTTGCGAGTTCCATCTTGCTCACGGCTCCCCCCCTCCCCCCCCCCCTTCCCCCTCTATCATCAACTCATCCAGGTCTCCTCCGTTCGTTCGTTGACCTTGGTTGAAGCTTCAACCCCTCCCCCCAGTCACTCTTTGATACCACACACTCGCTCTCATATAGAACAAAGCTATACACGACAACCGCAAACTGCAGAGATGGTCATGCTCAAGATCGCCACGGCCGCTCTGGCCCTGTCCGGCAGCGCCGTCGCTCGCCGGTTCCAGTACCGTCAGTTCTCCAACTCGACCGCCACCCTCTGGCCCAACATGACCACCACCGCTTCGGAGCCCACCCACACTCTCATCACCCTCACCTCCACGGACGCCGTGTCCCTCACGACGTCGACCATCTTCACCACCACCACCCGCACCGTGACCGACTGCCCCGACTGCGGCGGCACCAGCACCGCCRYCGTSACCGAGACCATCCCCGTCTCGACCACCGTCTGCCCCGTGACCGAGACCGAGACCGGCGGCGAGACCGAGACCGGCTCCGGCAGCACCACCGCCCCCGTACAGCCCACCGGGACCCTGACGACGTCGACCATCTTCACCACGGCCACCCGCACCATCACCGACTGCCCCGAGTGCGGCGGCACCAGCACCAAGGTCGTCACCGAGACCATCCCCGTCTCCACGACTGTCTGCCCCGTGACCGAGACCGAGACCGGCGGCGAGACCGAGCCTACCGCCCCTGTCCCCGCCCCCGGCGAGACCGAGCCCAGCACCACCGGCGGCGAGACTGAGCCCACCGCCCCTGTCTCTGCCCCCGGCGAGGATCAGCCCGGCTCTGGCAGCACCACCGCCGCCCCCGCCCCTCCCGCCTTCACCACGTCGACCGTCTACGCCACCAAGACGCTTACGGTGACTGACTGCCCCGATACGGTGACCGATTGCCCGGCCCACAGCACGCGCGTCGTCACCGAGACCGTCGCCATCTCCACCACCGTCTGCCCCGTCACCGAGACTGAGACCGAGACCGAGCCCGCTGGCGAGCCTACCGGGGAGCCTGCCGGCGAGCCCGACGCCCCCGCCCCCGGAGGCGCCGAGCCCACCACCACCGTCGTCTCCACGGGCACCCACACCATCACCAGGACTTTCAGCGCCCCCACGGCCTTCGTCCCCACCAAGTCGGCCGGCCAGGGCGGCAAGCCTCCCAAGCCCACCGGCGAGGCCTCCAGCGTGCCTGCCGTGAACCAGCCCGAGGTCTCCTCATCCGCCTCCTCGTCCTTCTCTGAGGCCGAGATCACCGAGACTGAGACCGCCACTGCCCCTGCCTCCGGTGCCACCGGTGGCCTCGTCGCCCCGTCGGCCTCTGTCCCCGCCGGCTCCGAGAAGCCTTCTGCCGTGCCCGAGCAGCCCTCTGCCGTGCCCGAGCAGCCCTCTGCCGTGCCCGAGAAGCCTTCTGCCCCTGCTCCTACCGGCAGCTTCCCCGCCGTTCCTGACACCCCCTCTAACGGCACCTCCAACTTCGAGACGGTCCCCGTCGCCGTCTCGTCCACCGCCGCCGTCACCCCCGTCACCCCCGTCAGCTCTTCCACCCCGACTGCTGGCACCACCGCCACCAGCCCCGTCCCCACGGCTGGTGCTGCCAAGATCAGCGGCAGTGCTCTCGTCGCCGTCGGTGTCGCCGTCGCCCTCTTCCTGTAAGGTGGCGGCATGACGATGCAGACATAACATGGTACCATGGTATGGGAAAATCAAAGTGGCGTTCTTTTTGTCTTTTTTTTTTCATCACTACATCAAGTTAGATCTCTCTCTCTGTCTCTCACACAAAATCTAGAGGAAGTTTTCTACTTTGATTCTGCCTACTCTTCTTCTTCTTCTTTTCTAACACACTTTTTTTCCTTTTAATTTTCCTCGGGTCATGTCTCACGACATCACTCTTACCAATTCACGTCTCTCCTTGAAAACTTCCTTCCAGATTTCCTCCCCCCCCTTTTTTTTTTCTATATATAAATCTCTCATCTGTTCATTCATTCATTGTGCCGTCTTGTCTTGTCCATGGACGTCAGTCTAGAAGATGCAGTAATACTGGACGGACCTGATACTCATCCGTACTCTCGTACCTCGAATTACCCCTGGAATAATACCACGTCATGACGACATTCCCCATATTTGACTCCAAAGATCTGCGCCAATTTGAAACCTGATTCCCCGCCCATTCTCCCCCCCCCCCAGTAACTTGATGCTTTGCTTGGCGCACAAATAGCAAATGTCGATTGCATCGTATTGGGAGGTACAACTCCGTTATTACCTCGCCTTGCGTTGTAGAATGTCTCATTTCTAACGCTCAATTAGAGTCAATGCGGCAAGATCCCTACAGGACCGAATCCTACTCTTGCATCCCTATCTACATTCTCCCAACCCCAACTGCCGTGCCGACAGGCCGTTAAAAGGGCCACCCTGGCCACTGTACTGATGTATTCTGCAGAATGGCTTGTGACTTGGCGTCTTGGCTTGCAGAGAGATACATGCGTCGCGACTTCCTTTACTTCGTTTGTTGTTCTGCTTTCATCTCTTAGTATTCGAATGGACCTATCATCCTCTTCTAGTATCAATCTTCCCTCTCTCTCGATCTCAGATAACAAGGATGTCATGGCCAGCACGAACAGTCGCGCTTCTGTGGAACCAAGAGAGAAGAGAGAAGCAGGGGAGTGAGGGTATCAAAGTTGACATTCCAGGGTTTCGATATCACACTCCGCGTTGCTCTGAACCTTTCCCCTCCCCCTCTTGACTTCCTTTGATAACCAATGCTACGTGCCAGTTATGATATTGCACACCCCCCCCTCCGGCCTTCCCTCTCCCGAGAATAAAATAAATAAAAAAGAAGTCATGTCATAATGCCCCCTTGTCTACGTGTAGGAAAGCCTCGACCGAATCCATTCCGCCCACTTACACAAATCCTCCATGTGTTCCAGCACTTTGGCCAGCGTCTCCCTCGTGACCCCGCTAGTCTTCCTCCTCTCCTCTGACAAGAGAGACAGGACGTTCTCGTGGACAACCTCGACGACGCCGTTCTCCAGAATCTGAAGCATGATATCGGCCTTGGAGCCGCCAAAGGGGAATATGACCTGGAAGTGAGGGGTAGGGTGAACCCAGAGGGTGACGTCTAGGCTCAGATCGGTGGCTTGCCCATCATCACCATCTTCTCCCTTCTTCCACTTCTCCTGCCTTTTACTCTCATTGCTGCTGCTGCTGCCGCCGTCCTTGCCTTGTGATGATATCGTCATGCTGGACTGCATAAATTCGGCTAGACGGTCCTTGGCAGCCAGAGCAACAACATTGGGACGTGTGGTAGATGTACTCTTAGTCTTGTTGTTGTTGTTGGTATTATTGTCGGATGACGACCCGCCAGATATTCCCGATGCTGCTGCTGCCGTCACCGCCGCTACATCTCCATTATCCTTGATACCTTGAGAATCAGATCCTCCAAAGCTATTGCTCAGTAAAGTCGATGTGAATGCCCACTGTCGTAGGCAAGGAAGCATGTGGACCAGCTGCCTAGGGTGGGAAAAGGTCATTTCGGACAGTTGCATCGAGTATATCTGCTTATAGATGAACAGCGAGTTGCGGTGTGTCCTGGTGGTGACGGCCGACCTGTTGCCACGGTCAGGTACGGCGACGGTGCGCCGGCGAATAATGGTCCTACGCTCGCTGGGGTCGGAGTATGTGCCTGACGGTATGGGGAAGTGCAGCTGGTCAAAGGTCGGAGGACGTGGTGGCGGAGCGGGCGTTTCCATGCCCGCCGAGGCGTACAGGCGCATCCAGTCGCTCTGGGGGAGGACGACGGGCGGATCGAACGTGGCAGTGAAGATGACGGGAGGCACCCGGGCCGTCGACAGGTCCGGCTGGATCATCTCGATGGCTGTATCCTTGGTTGCGTCGGCGGCGGCCGGCAGCCTCACGTAGTCGGGCTCCTGCCAGTCGAGCTGGGGCGGCAGCGACAGCGACTTGTCATGGCCGTCGTTGTCGTTGTCGGGCTGCTTGGTGGTCACGTCCTTGGAGATCCAGTCGTCAGATATGCGGGCCGGGGACGTCTGCAGGCTATTATCCATGGGGGCGCACCCGACAGCCAGGGACCAGATGCGCTCTCGGTCGTCGGCCAGGCGAGCGGTAGCCTCGCTGGCGGGCGGGATGAGCCTCTTCTCCTTCCAGTACTGCAGGGCCAAGCCGACCTGGTTGCGCGGGTGCATGGCCGGTCGTCCGTGACGCGTGCACATGGCCAGCAGGGAGGCCATCCTCTCCGACTCGACGCCCTCGGCACGCAGGCGGTCCAGGTCCCAGCGGTACAGCCTGTCGAGGCTGGTGTACAGGCCCACGAGGGCGGCGCGGCAGTCAAAGTCGGGCATGATGCTCAGACGGTCAAGTGACGCCAGCCGGCCCAGGTTGGCGGCGAACTCGTCGAGAGATTTGGTCAGCGGACTCTGGCTGGCCGGTAGGCGCAGGTCGCGCAGCAGCATCTTGCTCGCCGGGTCCATGTGGCGCGACGTCGGGTCCGACGATTCGGGGAAGGCGAGCGTCACGTTGCGCACAATGTTGTTGTCCAAGACAATCTCGATCTGAGTGCTCGAGCCGGCTATGATGAGCGCGCGCATCTTACGCCCGTCCGGAGCGGTATAGTCCTCTGGGAGGCAGTCGAATCCGTTGCGCTGTGCCAATCGTTCGAGTCCGGCTTCGCTCACCAGCCCTTTCTTTTGCTGTGTACTTTTGTCAGTCCATGCCCTATCCCATTGCAAGGCGGTGGTGAGGGGAGGGGTCAAAAGAAGGGGGGGGGAGGGGGGGGGGGRGATACACACATTGAGGATTTCTAGAATGGCATCCAACCTCTTCAAACGGTCATCGTCACGGGTTATGGGCCTCACGTCCCTCAAATCGTCGACGTCGGGACCTGCCAGACCCAGCGCTGCCGCGGTGGAGGGGCTGTCAAACGCAAAGGCCCCGCTGGGCAGCTGGCCGAGCATGCTCGTGGCTGGCGACTTCTTAACCTGCTGCGGCGACGATCTAGGACCCCTAGGCGAGAATGCGGCGTGCGCGGCGTTGGATGACGAGAAGGGCGTCGAGACAGGCGGCGTAGCCCCCGTCAGCTGCGAGGGCGTACGGCCCTGTGACAGCTTGTTAGGCGTGGGTGTCGACATTTTTTCTCGCCTCCGTCTTCTTCTCCCTCCCGTGTGCCTCTCCCTATACCGTAGCCCCCGCTCTCCCTCTCTGTCTTGACGAGGGGCTGTCTGGCCAAGTCAGAAAGAATGTTCTGATCTGGTGGCGCTCGGGCCTCTGCGCGCGAGTTGGTAGCGCAAGCTGCTGCGTCGTACTACCTCCCATGCAGCCTCGGCAGTGACTCGATGTATATTGCGTAGAAGGGGGGCGTGGAGGCTGAAACTGTTCCGTATGGTTCGACGAGGAGGCACCGTGTTGTACAATGTGCAGTTTTGCGGTGCAATCTAGTTTTGGTCTTGTCGACAGACAAAAGGATATACGCGTAGTGAGATGCTGAGAGCTTGGTGGTGGGACCCCTGTCGGTGCTAAGGCGCTGAGTTTACCCGATATCCGTATCCGTGCTGCGAGTGTCTGCTGGACTCCGAGGTTGACAGCTTGCATGCAGCATCACCAACAGCCTCACACCATGCCACTTCTTTACGTCTGCCCCATCTCAAGAGAAGGATGAGAGGCCAGACGCAGAGGAGAACGAAAGAAGAGGAATCCGAGAATCCGGTCCAATCGCCCCTCCGCAATGGTCTCTACAGTGGGCTGGTCGCGCTCCGCCATCAACCGCGCCTGGGCGCAGCGGACACTGCGCATCCTCGTCTCTCCCAGACCCATCACTTTCGCCGAGAGACGGTCGGTTCTACAAGTCCTCCAGGACAAATGTGGCATCGACGTATTTAAGATGGTACCTGTATGCTCGATCATCCCCTCGCCCCCTAACGGACCCGTTTCTATGCCTTTTTTTTTTGGGGGGGGGGGGGGGGGGGGGGGGGGGGGGGGGAGAGGGGGGCTTGGGCTTGGGTACAGCTGCTGACATTCGAGCGCATATAGGGCTACCCAGGCCAGTTCCTCGCCGTGACCAGAGACGAAGATTCGGCGAAGAATCTCGTCTCCTTGAGTCCACTCAGCTATTCAATCGAGGCCCCACGCAGGAGCAGTACGCACGACATTCAGTTCATGGACTTATCGAGACCGGAGCTCCTAGACGGCACCAGGCCGTCTATCTTACCGGCCGACGAGACGTTGACGACAGGCCGTGAGAGCAGCGACGACGATCAAGTTGGAGAAAGGCAGTGGAGCCAGCAGCAGGAACGGCAACACTTTAGCCTGCGCATCGTCAAGGTACAAGATTACAACCACGCGGGGACAATGGACTCGTCGCCGCTGCACGGGTCGTGGCCGGCGAGGTACACTGCCGACGATAGCTTCACGTCGTCGGTGCTCAAGCAGACGCTCCCGCACAACGCGGCGGCTGCAGGTCTCGCACGCTGGGACTACAACCTCACGCTCGGTCACCAAGCTAAGCTGTCGCCCAAGAATGAGCGTCTCCAGGTGTCGAGGTGGCTACCTGGCAACATGGGGAAGAGGAGTCAGGGAGAGGGGCAGAATGGAAAGACCGCTGCAGATACAGAAGAGGGAACCGGTGTGGTGGCGCCCGAGTGAATGCGGAAGACCAAGGTCGCAGCGGCCGCATGCAGCCTGCAGCTACCCGGCTCTCTCTTCAGCTTGTCTAGGGCCGCGAGGCATGAGGCTCACCAGACCAGCATGCATACACCGCACACACACACGTGCACACACGCACACGCACACACATACACCGAGGCACAAGACGAATACGGCCTACGGTATCAGGTCTACGTCACGGCCCTCGTCACGGCCCTCTGTCCGAGACGACCTCAGGACACACGGTCTTTTCATACGTCTACAGGGTATATACGGACAGCCCTTCATAGTCCCACTCTCCTCCTCTGACTTGATCTCCTCTGCGCTTGAAAGGGGGGCAGGGGAGGATTGTTACGCGATGACGGGAGATGGGTAATAAAGCCGAACCGGAGCTCTCCATTCCACCGGGGGACGGAACCTCGGGCTCGGGAAGGCTGGAGACGGGGAGACAGGAGGATAAGAGACGACGAGCACTACACATTCCTGACTCGTCTGCCCTGCGCTTCTCGCAAGAGATGAGTATCACTGCCGATTACTAGCAAGGCAATCCCGCCGTTGATAGGCCAAATCGGCACGGCATGACCGAGTACTATGACAGCAAGTATGTTTCGTAGGGAAAGACAATGACAAATCAGGGAGAGGGAAGGATCAAGTACGAGCATATTACAAGGAAAAGAGGGAAAGAAGCCAGGGAACAAGCCACAGTATGTCTTCTTCTCTCTTCTTATTTCGGCTAATGGCGAGGCGGTGCTTGGCGGATCGCCCCCATCAGCCACCAACGACCTGAGCTGGAGTGGTGATGGTAGTGTTTTTGAATCATGCTAGACGGAGCAGGTAGAAAGGCTATCTATGCGCAGTTGAAATCTCATTTGTATTATGACTCTAAATATATATATATATATTTGGGTTGGGTTGGGTTTGGTTTCTTTCTGCTTCTTCCGTGATTGTTGAGTCGGAGAATCATGTACCTGTATGGATCAAAGAGGAAGGAGTAAGGCAGGTATGCTCGACACAAATTGAAGGTAAGTGCAGGGCAGAAGAGGAAGGGGAGCAGGGAAGGAGGATCAAAGTCTGAGAGGTAGCTCAGATGTGATGAGTGATGAATAAAAGAGGTGCGCCACAGACTTTGAAGTCTTTGGTCAGCCACATTCTGATACTGTCATAATACTCGTGCACTTCGTACCTGTACACAGTATTATTACTGTCAGTAATATTAAATGTCCATACGAGCACCAGCAAAGAATAGAGTAGTATTATCTATCACAGCAGCAGCAGTAGCACCACCACCCGACCAAGGTGATGAGATGGTGTGCAGGGCGGTAATGCAATTACTCAGCAGTAGCCGTGGCTGACTATGGAGTATTACAAGTTACGTCCTGGCCGCCCTCCCCCACCCTCGTCTTGACCCCCTTTTCAAGCTGATGTCCAGCTGCAGCAGAATGCGTCTGCGCCCCATTTGTTGTTGCCGTGCTGGCTTGTGCTCTGTGGGCAAAAACAAGATTTTCTCTTCCTCCTTTGAAATCTCTTCATGGTAACCGCTTTCGGTAACCGGTACAGTTAGCAGATCGCCAATCTCATCTCTGGACCCCACCATGCGACGACAAGTGCCGCCTACCGGTGAAGGGAGAGAGAGCTATATCAAGGCTGACGCCGTAAGCCTCTCGTCTACCTGTACAGAATCTATGCGTCATGCATGTATTGCTCGTCCAGCACTTCTGTCATCAGCTGTCGTTAATAACCGATAGGTACGGAGTATTGCTGACATTATGGACTCTGCCCTCGGTGATAAAAAAATAATACTGTATACACTTCGTACCCAGGCTTGTTCAGCTACTCCCATCCTCCCATCCTGGTAATTCCTCGCGCCAAGCAGGGGTCGATTGGGAGGCGAATCCAGCAGTCAGCCGATCCACTCTTCTGAAGAGCTAAGCGTCACGCCCACAACGTCATGGCCATTCCCTTCCTACCCTCCTCCGCCTTGAACTCGTCTTCTTACACGGGCCAGCAACCTGCATGGCAGCCAAACGGCCGGCAACTTCAGCTACCCTTTGACAGGTTCACGAGTAATAGCAGTCCGTGAACTCGAGCCCGAGAACACCACGTTCTACTACGTTCTACCACGTTCATAGCCTCGCTACGCATGTCCCTGTGCCCGTAATGGTCAATCCACCATCTCCAGTCTCAACCAATGCCACCACCGTCGTGACTTTGATCGAGGACACGCACGTGCGCACCCCCGACCCGAAAGCCCATGTCCCCGCTCGCTCGTGTGCGCGCCAGCTCCCCATCAGGCTCGTACATGTGTGCTGAGCATCTGGAAGATGAAGTCCACTTGGGACCCGCGCCGTGAAGAATCGAGATATGTCTCGCCTGGCCTTGAGCTAAGACTGGGGGAAGGGGGGGTCCAGTCGGTGGGACTCTTCTGCTCTGCTCTGCGCGCGTGTGTTGGACGATCGAGCTCAGGTTGAAACTACGATAGTATTGATTTTCATTTTAATTTCCCTGCAGATCCCTCTTTTTCTTCTTTCTATTCTCTTCGGCTTCCCCTCTGGCCCTCCCCTCCCTGTTGTTGTTTCCATTCCTCTTGATATCTCCTTCTTTTCTGATGATACCCACTCTCCTCTGAACATCTGGCATAAAACTATACCTGTCCAGCAAATCCTCTCAACCTGATATTATACCCATCCATACACGACATACAAAAAAAAAAAAAAAAACTCCCCCCCAAAAAAAGAAACAAGCATCATGGGTCTCGGTCGCTTTGTTCACTTTACCGGGTCGGCGCTGCTCTTCATCTCCATGATCCTGTGCATCGTCGTCAGCGTCTCCGCCCCTGTCGTCAAGTATCTGTCTTTCGTCCACTTTGAGCTGGACGGGAAAGCAGACGTCAAGTTTGGTTCTTTCGGATATTGTGTGACGGATTCCAATGGAGAGTGAGTCTTCATCTTTCCCTTATGCATCTTGCTTCCCCATACGTGTTGGGAAGACCCATATGAGAGTTTGAGAGGGAAACGACGTGGATAAGAGAATCCGAAGAGAAGGGAAGCGTACGGGCAGACTGACATGGATCGGTAGTGACCGCTGCTCTTCCACCCACATCGGATACGACGCCGCCAAGATCATGGAAGGCATCGACGACTCCAGCTTCTCCATGGCCCGCGGTGACTCCATCAAGGCCCTGACCCACGTCTTCGTCCTGCACCCCGTCAGCGCCGCCCTGCTTCTCATCTCTTTCCTCCTCTCCCTCTTCGCCGGCAGCTTTTGCGGTAGCGTGATCGCCATGTTCGTCTCAGCCCTGACTTTCGTCGTCTCCGTCGTCGCCGTCGCCGTCGACTTCGCCGTCTTCGCCCTCGTCCTCAGCGAGGTCCGCAACGGCAACGGCAAGGGACGCTACGGCTCCGTCATCTGGATGGCCCTCGCCGCCGCAATCCTCACCCTCGCCGCCACCCTCATCCTCGCCGTCACCTGCTGCGTCGGCAAGCGTCGTCGCGCTCAAGCCAAGTGCTACAAGCTCGAGGCCCAGACTCACCCTCACCCTCAGCAGCACTAAGTTGAACAGAAAAAGTTGTGGTGTAGATGAGCCGATTTTTATTCATTTGATTTCTTATTTATTTATTTTGCTTTTCTGCATTCGCTTCTCCCACCCCGTCTTCTTTCATATACTTATATATATATACCCATTAGTAACGAGTACAACCAATGCGTCGAGGACCAAACGATGCCATGTCCAGAGATGAAGAGAGAGAGAGGGGTTTTACAAGGATGATGGGCATGGTCATGACAGAAGATGCCACGATGTGGCCGGATGTTGAATACAACGGGGACGGACAGAAACTTCGTTGGTTAGATGGTGCATCTTGGAAGCTGAAGCTCGTCGTTGCCTGCAATCTACCTTTTTTTTTTCTTGGATCGACTGAGAAGCTATACCCATGGCATGATTTGGCAATGACGAAGAATGCCAAAGTCACTTCCTAATTATTAGCCGTTACATCTAGTATTAGTGTTAATTTTTTTTTCTTTTAGTGGAAAAGACTGTAAAGCATCCCGTGAAAGGATCCTCTTTGCAAGCCACCATGTTGTAGAACGTCTTGTAAGGATCGGGAACAAGTCATCCGCGCAATCTAATTAGTATTCTTTATCGAACCGGCGGTCATTGACAACACGACCAGAACTGCACACTTATACTAGAACTGATAAAGAAAGAAATAAAGAAGACCACTCTCAAACCATCGCCAGCCGTAGTGACTAGTCGGTATCAGCTACTAGTCGCTGTGGCATCTCGCTTTTGTCGATGAGGATTAGAAACTTTTCTGAACAGAATGTCTGAAAAACAGAGGCAGTTTAGTGATCCTTGCTCTTCTTGGCGCGCTTCCTTTCGCTCCTGGCAGCCTCCTCCTTCTCCTGCCGCTTCTTGCGCCTCTGCTCCTTGCGGCACTCGCGTCCCTTGCAAGTCTCCTCCTCCTCATACCCATCCTCCTTCTCGTACTCGGGCTCGTACTCGGGCTCGTGCTCGTGCTCCTCAACCTCCTCCTTGTACTCCGTCTCTTTCTTGTGCTCCTTGGGCTCCTCGAACTCGTGAGTGTTGACCTTGCGCTCCTTGGGTTCCTTGAACTTGTGCTCCTTGACCTTGTGCTCCTTGATCTTGTGCTCCTTGATCTTGTGCTCCTTCACCTTGTGCGTCTTGGGCTTCTTGGGCTTCTTGGCCTCCTTCTCGTACTCGGGCTCTTCCTTGTGCTTCTTAACCTCGGTCTCCTCTTCCTCCTCGTAATGCTCCGGGGCAGGGGACTTCTCCTCCTCCTCCTCCTCCTCCTCCTCTTTCTCTTCCTCGTCGTAGTGCTCCGGGGCAGGGGCCTTCTCCTCCTCCTCCTCCTCCTCCTCCTCCTCGTAGCGCTCGGGGGGAAGGGTAGTGGTCTCCTCTTCCTCCTCGTGGTACGCGGAGGTCTCAGTCGGGATGGGCTTGGAGTAGGTAGATGTCAGGCTGCTTGAGGTATAGGCGGCGGTGGTGCTCTCGGCTCCGTAGGAGGAGCTGGTAGGCTCCTCCTTCTTCTCAGCCTTGTAGTCTGTCGTCGCGGGACCGTATGTGCTGGTGGAGGTCTGGATGAGTCCGAGTGTTAGCGAGTGCCTGTCGTCATGTAGGTACATGTGCAGAACGGAATCCTCCATTCACATATTGTGTCTATCGGAGAGAGGAGAGGAGAGAGGAGAGGAGAGAAAGCTTACTTCAGGCTTTGGGTGGTGAGTCCTGAGGCTGCTACCCACGCACCAGGGGCAGGGGCGGCTGGAAGAAGATGTGGTCTCGGGTTGGTAGACAGCGGACGAGGCAGAGGTATAAATAGAGGTAGTGGTAGAAGTAGACTCCGCGGCGTAAACGGAAGACGACAACGAGGACGAGGTCTCGCCAGGGTACACGACGGAGCTGGTGCTGGCAGTGGCCGTGGCAGTCGCAGAGTAGACCTGCTCATGGGTAGGCTCCTCAGCCCTAGCAGACTGCTTCCTGCAGGCACAGGTAGCACGGGGCTTCACAGACGCATCAGCCGGGGTCGGGGTCGCAGCCGAAGTCGGCAGAGCAGACAATGTGGTGAGCAGCCAAACAGGAGCAGCGACGACGGTAGACGCTGGGGCGGCGCAACGGCAAGTCCTGGCAGCGGTCCTGTTGGTCGTGTACGCGGCCTTGTCCTGGAGGATATGGCCAGCGGGCACAAGAGCCTGGGCCGCGGTAGAAAGGGCAATCAGAGCCACGGGAGTGAAACGCATGGCTGCTGTTCCTTTTTGTTGTCTTCTCCTTTCTGTTTCTCAAGATAGATACGATGGAGAGATATAAATATGGCTGCTGGGGGAGGTGGCAGGGGAAGCGTTGAAGCCGAATTTGACTGGATTCTTGCTGTAGCAATCTTGATATCGAGAGGGATAGTGAGAGAGAGTGAGAGAGAGTGAGAGAGAAGAAAGAGGATTTGCGGAGGAGCAGGAGGTATGATATATATACTGCAAGATATACCGTGCTGTGCTCTCTTCTTTCTTATGGCTAGGATATTGGGAAGTAAGAAAAGCACAGCAAAAGCACAGCTTGTGCTAATGTTTTGTGCTCGCATGTGATCTTGTAGAAATTGGTGCTATTAGCCTCATAGTTAATGGTAGCCAGATAAGAGGTATAAAAAAAACAGATGGAAGAAGGCTATTCTTATTCTCATGACCTAGCATGACGATCATGGTGATGAGAGGGTTTCATCTATGTGATGTGTTCGTGGCGTTGCGACTGGTTACTAGATCAAGAACTAGTATGTCTGTCAAAGAAAGAATAAACTCATAGAGATCGAAAAGGGGGAGCAAGACGTGTACAGATCCCAAGGTTGATGCGATGGCAAGGGAAGTGAGCATGGCACTTACAATATGCGGTGGTATTGGTAGACAGACTTGTACACGACTGAGGAGAAGCCCGTGCAAGGCGAAGAAGCAGCATACAAGTAAATCGCTTATAGATAAATATATAAAAACAAAAGATAAAACAAAACAAAAATCCAATTCGCACCCTCAATACTGTTGCCGACTGTCAAGAAGAAATAGTTGAAGAGACAAGACAAGACAAAATGATAATAACACAGTGTCGACCAACAAAACAAGAAGGGATTATGCTCGCTAGATAAGGCAAACCCTGCGCAACCTAACACCCAGGGATGCTATTTTTTTTTCTTTTTTTTCTGAACTTTTTTTGTTGCTGTACTGATTCTGCATGCTCTCCCCATTCTTGAGACTCTGTTCCTGTTTGAACACCGCAGTTCTCTTGCTGTCAATCTTTTCTATTCGTCTTCCTCCGGAATACCTGAGAACAGCCCGAAGCGCATACGATGAGACTGTTCGACACAAGTTGGTTAGTTGCGGCCGGAGATGAGAGTGAGGGAAATGCCAGAAGGGTGTGTAGTGTACAGAGATGTGTAATAGGAGAAAAAAAAATCATACGTACGAAGGGCAATTTCGGGATGACAACGGCGAGTACGGCGAGGAAGTTGATGGAAAAGTAAGTCAGGTCGTAATGAGTGTAGTGAGTGCTGAGGAGAAAGAGCACAATAGGTACACTGAGGAGAAACTTCTTGGTCGGGGTGTACTGGGCGCCATTGTCGATCTGTTCCCACATATTGAGGTTGTCGAAGGCGCCGCTATTGAATTCAAACGGCACGCCGCGGACGTAGTGGAACATGATGTACGAGCCAAACATGTAGGTGATGTTGGTCAGGGTCCACGACGTCTCCTGCGATACACCTGGGATGACGTTGAAAAAGATCTTGAGGCAGACAATCAGGACGATGTGGACGCCCCAGGCTCCTAATAAAATCGTAAAATATTAGCCATTGATGTTTATTATTACTCGTCTAGACCCCACGGAAGAAGGCTGTCTCTCCATCTCGGGGATGGAGCGAGAAAGAAAGAAAAAAGGGGGGGGGGGGAGCTTACCTTTGGCACTGGTCCAATTGGCATTGAGGTTGGGCAGAGCAGCCTGATCGCTGATCTGCTCTAGAGTCTCGGGAGGCTCATGGTAGACCTGGAGGATACTGCTAGACCTCCTCCGGCGACCTCCGTTCTTATCGTTGTCGGGCATGTCGAGATGCTGCTTCGAGGTGTTGCCGCTACCGCTACCGTTGTCACTGCGTGGAGGACCACTACCCGCGTCAAAGGTGACGGTTCGCGGGAGGAGAATTGGGGAAGGCACCTTGGCGGTATTACCGGGTGACACGACCCCGGCTTCAAGGATGAGGAGCGAGAAGGGAAGATGGGAGCTGAGAGTTGATGCGGGCTCGAGTCAGAATGATCGGCTGACCTAGGCTATATTCGTGGTGATGTAATAATAGACGGTCGGAGCGGCGTAGTAACTGTAGAGAGGGGGTGAGTGGGAAGGTGGTAGGAAGAAAAGCCGTTTGTCAGATAGCGGCTCTCGGAATTGTTGATAATGGCACCCGAGACTGGATGATCAGGCGGTGTGGTGGTGAAGGACTCGTAGAAGGTTCCTGCCCCCTGATGATGTCAAGGAGGAGAATATGTGGGAGGGAGGGAAAAGGTGTGAATGTAGAGGGCCCTAATGCTGAATGAAGTAACGGGGGCTGTATTGGAAAAAAAAAAGACAGGCAGAATGGAGACGGTCGGAAACGAACGGTCGGGGGCGTGCGTCGTGGACAGACACAAAGCCTGGATGGGAAGATGGGGTGATGGTTTGTAGCGATGAAGCGAAAGGAGGGGACAGAGAGGTAGGAGGAGAAGTTTGTGATGATGACAATCAAGAGACAAAGCCACAGGAAAAGCGGCAGAGCCGATAGCGCGGCAGCAGGCCCGTTACGTATGTACCTACAGGCTACAGGCAGGCTACGAGTAACATTGAACACTGGGTGGTGCTGCTGCTACTGCTGAGTGCTCTCGACTCGATTGCTAAGCTGCACTGCAGGACACTGCAAGTCAGAGAGAGAGATTAACGGAGCGCGAGAGCCTCAGGACCCTTCGGCCCAAGTTATTGCGTCGGTACCACACCATGGCAGCATACACCAAATTACGCTGTCAAGGCATCCCACCAGGTACCCCAACCACTATCAGGGGACCAATCGTACCTGGCTGGCCAAGCCCGTACCTACATGTACAGGCTACACCGTACCCAACTTGTCAACCTAAGTGCCAGCCATCCGCCTGTCGGCTTCAGCGCTCATAGGGGACCACCATGAGGGACGACCATAGGGGACTACCACCGCCTGTAATAGTGGATCCTTTATTGGCGGGGGGAGGGGGTCTCTGTGACACCCGCCTGGCTCCGGCCGAGCAGTCCCCCTCTCTCGTACGAGTTCGCAGGGTCACCACAATCTCTCATTGCTCATGGCTCATTCCACATTGCACATCGCACATTGTGCATTGCTCACTGCTCATTTCCAGATATCAACATGTATTACAGCATATAGACAACCGAGAACAGCTCGTTCCCATCAGGTGCTTCTCCGATTACCCATCGTACTATCACTTCTGGTGGTAATACTAGTGATACTGTCACTTCAGCTGGAGACGTACTCGTACTCGTACGGTCGGACTTTTGGTTGCACTGCCTCGAAAGACTCCAGTCCGAAAGAGTCACCACAGGTCACCCGCGGGGCGGCCACGTATCCGTCCACTCCCTCGTAATTTGCTTATATTGATTGCTTTTTCATGTGGACCACTGGCTTGGACTGACATACACATCCGGCCAAGGAAAAGAACGCTATTAATAGGCCCATGATCCATGCGTATTGTGGTCGAGACTCAAAACCTTTTGTCTCTTGTTCCTTCCTTCTTTCCTTTCAACTAATCTCTCCTCTTGTGCGCGTAATGTGTGTCGCCGCTAACCACAGGAGGCGCTCCCACTTACTCATCACGTGCGTACCTGTCATATACTGTTGACCTGTGACTGTGTAGCCCAACCGTCATGTAACGTATGTACGAATACGTCTGGGACGTCATTTGCGGTGGGCTGCAACTGGGATGCATTATATGAAATCCTCCTGGAACATTGCCGGTGGTAATGTCCTGCACATTGAGGGGCATACGAGTAAGTTGGCATGTGATGCTGTTGCGGTTGGGTCCTGGGGGGGGGGGGGCAAGGGGGGCCCCCCCGACGTGCGGTTCGACGAACTTGTCTACCTCCTCTGCTGGAAAATCAACTCTTCTTGATCTATCTTCTGTTTCTGGATCATGAAATCATCATTCTTGGGCCTCTAGAGCCCAATGGCTCAGTCGTATATTTTTATGATAAGTGATCGACAAACAGCTAGACCGGCTCCTCCATCCCGTTCCCGGAAACGGATATATGTTGGTAGGATGTGCAATCGAGAAGATGCGTCCGTAAACCCCCCGAGTATTCTATTACGATGGGTTTACAATGATTAACAAACAGTCCGCTGTCCGTATACAGATCCAAGGGTGTATGCTCCGACACACCCTTACTCCCCTATCCACGTCGGTCACGCACGTACAAGGGCGGGCTACTTTGATCGTCGTAGAGAAGTTGACTCTGGTCTTGGTTGATATAGCAAGCGGGCCGCCATTCCAGCCATCTATGGTAGTGAGCCTGTATGCATGTATGTGACTCCGGTCTCAAGGGTTTGAATCCCAGCTTCCCAACTTGTGGGAGGTTGTTCCTGAGCCCGAAGCTGATCCATAAAAGCTTTGAGGATATCGATTGCGGTCAGCTTAGATAGTCTACCTAGACTTCGCCAACTGCCTCTCGATGCCCATCTGTATACCTGAATATAATAAGAGCATGCCGGCGATCCCATCTCTCATCGTGCCAGATATCTGGCAGGAGTTAATTTTCGATAATCTATCAAGGCTAGCCCCATGCAAATCCCATCGCAGCTAGGGAACTTTTTGGGCTAACTTGTCTGTGATATGTAGAGTTTTATCAGTCTCAGCAGGCAATTCTTCACCAAAGACCAGGGCTCCAATGATCCAGCCGGAATACTCTGCGCAGAAGCAGTCTGGGCTTTTGCTAGAAAGAGAGGACTCGGAAAGTAGTATACGACGAGGATGGGAGCCGAAATAGAGGACTGCCTGTCCCCAACTGTCAATAGTGTTACTGCTCGACTATATAAGTTGATATTGTCGAGGGTCTTGGGTCCGCGATTCCGTTCAAGGATACGATCCGTGGCATTCTCACTTCGTGAAAGGAAAGAGAAAGACGAGTCAGACCGTCATGGTTACTAGATCAAGATAAAGAAAGTTGACGTTGGTGACGTCGAAGAGGCGAGATAATGGCTAATTATCGGGGCAACTACCGGCTACAGCTCATCGTGTTCTCGGATGTTGATTGGCCTGTTCTCTTCCATGGTTTTATTTTATCATGTTTTCTTAAAGAGAAAATTCTCGATTTTCTACGCTTCGAGAGCCATCGCTCAACCACTTGTTGCATCGCGGTCTAATTTTTAGGGCGTATCCTGGAAATCCATTGTCTGTCTTCTCGGCCCTATATATTCTTCTCATTTCAATCTGTTACTGTTATCTCGTTTACCTGGTGGAGCTTCGAGTAAAACCAAGGACCCTTCAAACGCAGTCTGCAGACTGGCTGTCTGTATTTTTTTATTTTTTTTGCGCCCCTTTACACCAATCTGTCCTTCTCTTCCACAAGGCATCGCAAGACTTGGAAAAAAAACGCGGTATAATCGTCTGCTGGTACACAAGTGCTGGCAGAGCATCAGACAGAAATACCCGGGATCCCACGGGGAACAAAAAAAAAAGGTGCTGCATATTCTGATTGGGACCGCGCAAAGGGAACGAACGAATGCGGTAGCTGCGTATGTACCACGACAGCTTACAAACATTTCACCATGGCTTCACAAGATGAACCCCTCGGGGATGTCATCAACCTCTCTTCCAGCGATGACGACACACCATCTCATAAGCACTCACTGCAGGAATCGGATAGTTCCGAGTCTACGGATAGCTCTTCTCGTCGACGGAAACGCATTAGGACCGCGTCTGCGCCGGGTGCGCATTCCGCCATCATGGGCACCCCTGATACGGGCGCCGAGGAGGGCGAGATTGAGGACGACTCAACCATGGCTCACAGCGGCATCAGCCCGCCTGCTGGCGAACAAGCATTTGGAAAGTCAGCTGCCGCGTCGTGCGTCTTCATGCCTAAAGATCCGCTCGTGTTCGAGGCCTCGATAGACGGTACCTCGGTCGACTTCAACCTGCCTGTTTTCTCGCAGAAGCGTGAGGGCCATTGGGAGGAGAGATTTCATCAGTGGGCAAAAGCCTTTTGCGTTGCTAACGCGGCACGCGCAGCTTCCATCACAGCGTCGGTTGTGGCCGGGGGCTACAACTTCTACCTGGACCAGAGCTCTGGCATCAGAACCAAGAAGAAGAAGAGTGCCAAACAGTCTGTCGACGCAATGATGAACGATGGGCGCCTTAAAACCATTGTTGACGAGAATACTCGTGCGACAGACCCGACGCCAGCTGCCGCCTCGGCTACGGCGCCACAGAGCGATGATGACGAATACGAGCCAAAGATGGACACCGTCGTTTCGGAGACATCGTCACAACACGGCAGTGGCGATGCAGGAAATAATGGTGAGGCACCTTCGCAGCTTCCCGTACTGTCGGAGGGCGAGGTGGCGCAGTTGCGCAGGTACTTTCCCTCCGCCAAAGATCCAACCAACATGTGCTTGCTGTGTGGCGGCGTCGGGCACACGTCAGCCAACTGTTCCAAGGCATCTTGCAAATTCTGTGACAGCCCCAAACACTGGTCATATGCTTGTCCCACGCGTGTAAGGTGTGGAAATTGTCGGCAGCTAGGCCACACCTCATCCGTCTGTACGGAGCGGCTCGCCCTGACGAAAGATGAGGGACTGGCCTGCTGCTTCTGTGGCTCGCCAGGCCACCTAGAGGACGACTGTACGGAGATATGGCGCTCATTTGTGCCTACGGAAGATGCAGTGAGGACGGTTACCTATATTGCTCCGTCATGCTCAGTGTGCGGCAGCGGGAGTCACTATGAGGCCGACTGTGACGACCGTCGAGGTGTGCCTGCAAATCCGACTTGGTCTCTGAAAAACCACGACCGCTATGTGGACCAAGACTGTGAAGACCTAGCGATTGAGGGAGCAGTTGCGAAGTCCTCTAGCGCAAAGACTTCGAGAGCACCGGCAGTCAGGGTTCGCGGGCACGCAGCGAGAACCGACAACATTATCCGCTATTCGGAGAGTGACGACTCGGATGTCGAATTCCTCGGTAAAAAACCTGTTCAGAAGGCAGCGCCGCGGGCCGGAGGTATACGTTTGGGTCAGCTGCGTATGGCCAGTAACATAGAGATGCCCTCCGGCACCATGAATGACCAGCCTCAGGCACCTCTTTCTGGCCAACCCCCTGTGCCCCCTGGTCTGCCTCCGCGACTGGACTCGGGTAGACGTCGTCCACCAACTGGTCCGGCGCGAGGACCCCGTGGTGACCCTACGAGCCTCCCATCCAAGCCCCCTCCCGCTGCATGGGGCCAGCGCAACGCGGCCCCGCCCTCAGGGGGACAGTCGGCTCGCGGCCCTTCCTCGAGAGGAGGGCAGCGTGGAGAGCGTGGTGGTGGTGGCGGCGGCGGCGGGTTTCGAGGCCGTGGTCGGGGTGGTGGCAGGGGCAGAGGAAGGGGAGGATGGCAATGATTGGCCAAAAGGTGCTCATGCTGTATCTGTCTGCAAGATGCTGGGCATGCTGTGGTGTGTACTTATCATTGTTAAACCTTTGCAACTACCTGCTGTGGCGATCTTGCTTCTTGTGCATTTTATCGTCGACGGCGCAGCATTGTATTATATACTATCATATATGTGCAAATACCCAACACCTCTTTTGTTCTACGAAGCAAGATGTACTACACTGTTTATCAGCATACCTGGTAAGCATGAACAACTTTGGCATCTACGTTATAATCAAGCATAAGCGGGCGAAGGAGCGGTCCGTGTATTTGCATGTCTGCCGATGGAGGGAGGATATGCACATGCACGAAGGCGGGGGAGTTTCGCGTCCATGTGGTGAAAAGTGCGCAGACGGTCCGGGCACCATCAACATACATGTATCCCATTGGAGTAGAAACAAAGAAAAAAGAAAAGAAGGGGGGAGTCGATGTCTTCATAACATCAACCAAGTATGCCCTGAATGGTTGGTTGCCCGATCAATCAAAGCTAACACTGTCGCGTACTTGTGGGATTGTGACGGCTTCGACTGGCTCTACGTCGATGTTGCTGCAAGTGATACTATTATGGCATTATAGATAGAAGGTTGATCATACATTGGTTCGTCTCTTGGCTATCGAAAACGTTTCCAGTATGCTGATCTGAGAACGAACAAATTTGTCTGTCAAGTGTCAAGTGGCAATTGTGCTGGGCATGTGTTTCGAAACATTCGCCAGGCCACACGCGCAAGATGTCGATAACCGTAGTCATGTACAACGATTTGTTTATCGAAGCCCCCACGTACTCGAGAGGAAACAAACAAATACCAGGATCGATAAATCGACCTATTTTTCCATCAATATTACGTTCCGAACATATTGTTCGGCAGTGGTATCACTAACTAGTAACTACCTGTCGCAGCGACAGTCGCGCGCCACGGTCACGATACGCGGGAAAAGCGCGACAACCCCGTGGCGTGGCGCGTTGTGACAAGACGTGGCTGTGGCTGGTGAAGACGTGTGATTGGCTTGGGATTTTGAATATCTAGGCGGGGTAGCATCACGCTCCTCGCTCGAGTCCTGCCCCCCCCCCTTCTTCTTCAGACTTCCGTCTCCACAATCGTATCCAGGACCCAAGGCTGACCGCATGGCCATAGCCAGTCGTTTCACGGCTATATGCAGGTCGTGCATGAGTTTTAGAGAGACATAAGTTGGAAGCCATGCCACTGGCCTTTGGTGCTGCGACCGTCGAGACGGGCAGTTGGCGCCTCGCAGCATGCAGCTAGCTAGTCGACGAGCCACAACCAGAGCCGACGACGCGAACACGTTCTGTAAGCTGTAGCATGCAGCACTGAAAGAGGATGATGAGGCCCTTCTAACCAACCGATTTACGCCCCCCTGTGGAGGTAGTCGGACCTTTGAAAGCCATGGCTGGGGAAGGTGTTTCCCGCTAATGCAGAGTGAAAGGAAGAAAAACATGGGACCAGTGATAGACAGGAGAGGAAGAGAAACTTAGAGAGGGAAAGGGAGATTGAGAGATTGAGAGAGTGAGAGAGAGATGAACCCCGTTCCGTTTATATATATATATATGAGAACCTACCGACTTGCTAATGTACTGCGACCTGAAATGGTTGACATCTCAAGGACCTCCGTTGACGATCTGACCTATCATCATCCTCTTCAGCATCATTGCATTGTTCTTCTCTCTATTATAGTGTGGCCTCGCAGAAGAGATCACCATACCCTGCCTCTAAATAGGAGACTATATTCTCTCTCTTGTTCTGCCTGGAGCCTAGAACACTGAAGCTTGAGGAAGGAAGGTAGATTTGTGAAATCAGGCAATGAGGAAGTCATGGCGTCCACCACAGAGCAGCAATTCACAGCCCTCATGAGAAGCGCCCGCTTCAAGGACCACCTCTTCCCTCACCTGTCGACGTCGGACCTGTGCGCCATGCGGTCCGTCTCGTCAGCCTTCTGCAACCTCGTCACCAAGGACCTCTTCACACGCATCCATGTCTCGTTCTCAGCCACCACCTTCACTAAGCAGCCGCGGCTAGACGCCCTGTCGCGCGTCGGCCACCACGTCGAACATTTGACCTTTCACCTTCCGCACACCGAGGCCACGTTCCTGCCGCCGCTGATCCACCCGGAGTCTGGAAAGGAGATATCCTTCTTGTACAGCCCGCACACAAGCATGGGGTCGGTGCTCACCAGGCGCAAGTACGCCAATCCGGAGCTGGGCGACATCCTCACGCAGCAGTACCCGCCGATGTTCCATGCCGCCACCAATGTGCCCAGCTTCATCGCCGCCTTCAAGTGTCTCCCCAACCTCCGGCACGTCACCGTCCGCTGCCCCGGCCAGCATCCCAGCGAGAGGTACCGCCGGGACAGCGTCGACTACGCCCTCATCAGCCTGCGTATCGCCATGGAGCGCGCACCCCTCGAGAAGCTCGTCAAGCTGTCCCTCTCCGACATCCACCCGGCTGCCTTCCTCTACCTGCGCCATGTTGCAGGGTTCGGCTGCGTGCCGTCGGCTGCCCGCCGCTGGAGGCAGATCCGCAAGCTGCACGTCTCGGTCGAGGCGTGGGACTTCCAGGGCCCCTCCCCGGGACCGGACCACCTCAAGGTCATGGATGAGTACATCCGCAACCTGTCCCCGCACCTGGAGAAGCTGAGCTTCACCTGGCTCTCGCGCAAGGGGCCCTGCCCGCTCTCGCTGGCCGCTGATCCCATGTTCGCGCCATCCCAGGCGTCCCGCAAGCTCTTCCACGAGGTCACGTCGCCCATGTCCCCGCTGCCCAGCACGCCGCCGCGCGCGCCGATGAATTTCCCCAAGCTTCGGTACCTGCAGCTGCGCAACGTCTCGATGAACGCCCCGCAGCTGAAGGACGTCATAGCCTCGCACAAAGATACGGTCAAGGAATTTGACCTCGAGAGCGTGGCCCTCGCCAACACCCGCGACTGGGACGAGGCCCTGTCCCCGCTGGACAGGGACGAGGCCTGGTGGAGGAGCAGCCTCACTGCATCGTCCGAGTACAGCCTCGTCACCAACGACAGCGACGACGACATCTACACCCCCAGCGCTGCCGTCGAGGCTGCCAGTCGAGAACTACTCGACGTAGAGCTGGCTGGCGCGTCTGTCATTCTAGACGATCTCAGGGCGGCAGAGGACGGCGATGAGGATCTGTCGACTGTCGCCAAGAATGAGAAAACCATGAGTTTCACCACAAACCTCAAGAGGAGGAGGGTCCGTCGTCGCCGCAGAAGACACCACAGCGGAGACCAAGACGAGCAGGACGCCAGCAGTCGACGCTTCTGCGACGACCCGAGACCGATGACACCTTCCCCGCTGCGCACCAAGAAGAGCCCTCACAAGGCCTCGTCCTCCTCACCGATCAGGTCAGACCCCCGACCGACGACGCCGCCTTCCCCCCTCCAGTGCGCCGTCTCAGCCCCCATGCTCAACCCGGAGCCGCACCCGGTCCTCCTCCAGCCGACAGTCTACGACGCGTCCACGCGGCACCGCGCCGCCCCACCACATGAGGATATCTCGGCCGTCCAGCGCAACATTGAGCAGGAGGAGGCTCACCGGCGTCTAGCCGAGGATACCGACGCCCGTGTATCCGCGCTGCGCAAGGCCAAGGCCGCAGTTCTCAACAAGCTCAGCCGCGAGTATGGAGGCACCGGCAACACGAGCTGCGGAAGCAGCACCAGGAGCAGCGGCAGAAGCGGCAGCACCCGCCACGGAAGTAGGAGGGGTCATCAAGGTGGCGGCGGCGGCGGCGGACAGAGTGTCGCCAGCAACAGTGGGTTCGCCGGCCGAACGGCTGATGCGGTGGCGGCATGCCGGCTCATGGCTAGCAGGGACTTTGGCCGGTGTGCCGGCATAGACGTGGTGGAGGATAGGAGGACGCTGGAGAGCCGGAGCGTTCTTGTACCGCTCATGTTCAGCCGAGCTTAGCAAGTGCTGAGACTCGGGTGATTGTACGATTTCAAGATGATTTTCTTGTGCTGATGGAAGCGTTTTTTTTCTCTATGACCCATGTAATGAGGCCTTTGCGCGTTTACGATGCCATGACAGTCCTTCTTTTCTTCACCTTCCTTTATTTTCTTTACTTCAACTAGCCATGATTAACTATGAAAACTGGATGTATATATACATTTCCACACACAAGTTTCCGGCTCAACATCCTTTACTTGCACAGGGTAGCGCATCGTGGGCACTTCAGGGCACTCTCCAGGGATGACAGGAAAGCGGTCTGGTTGATCTGGTAGACGTAGTCTACGTATCGGAGTTTCTGGGCTTTCGGCGCAAAGAGCTCCTGGTAGACCATGATGTTGCCGTAGAACGGACTTGACCAGGCTGTGTCGACGCTGACGAGAACTGGAAAAGAAGAGCACGCGTTAGAATAGCCCCGACCGAGTGGTGTTGTTTGTTGTTACTGTTATTGCGTGCGTGAGTGTCGTGCACTTACAAGATGTCTGGTTCGTCACATGCTCGGGATACAAGCTCGCAAAGATGGTGAGCTCATCCCAGTATGGGAGTGTGACGTCGTAGTACTTGTAGAAGAGCTCTGTGTAGACGTTCTTGTGGTCATTGTAGAGATTGTCGATGAAGTCCCTCTCCGGGAAGACTTGGTTGGCACCATTTCCAACGAGAGCTGTTTGACATGTTTTGTGAGCAACCCATCTTGTCTACGGGGAGAGGCCGGATAGCTGTGTAGTGTGGATGGATGACTTACTTATGTTGGGAAACTTGGAAGTGAGAGCAATCTGGGCGGCCTCGGGATCAATCTTTAAGTTGAGCTACAGAGATGGCAAGGGTCAGCAGGTGGAGATTGAAACACACGAGAACGTGAACTAGGAAGCAGAGACAGGATTGGGGGGGGAAGCTGTGAAAGTGAAGGTGGTCGACTAACGTCAGAATTGATGTCTGCCAGGAGAAGCGACCCGCTCGTGTGCAGAAGCCAGACGTCGACGTAACCGCCCATGACCACGAGACCCTTTGTCAACGAGGCGAATTCGGGGTCCAAGCGTGCGGCGAGGGCAACGTTGGTCAGCGCGCCGCCGCTGTAGATCAGGACCTCGCCAGGGTACTTGCGGACCTGCTCGACCATCCAGGCGGCCGCGTGCTCGCCGGCGAGGGTGTTGTTGGGGTAGCCCTCGACGAAGGCCTCGCGCACGACACGCGAAGGGTCGCCGGATGTCGGGTCACTGCCTGCCGCTTCGGCAGTGGCATTTTCCCTTGCGAATACACCATGCTAAGAGTTTGAGGAAGTCCTCTGTCAGCTACCGCAACGGCTCTTCCCTCCTTCATGCGGTGGCGCCGGGGAGGGATTATATCCGTCGTTACCTACCCAAGGAAGCGGTCCCTGAAGGTCCTCCCAGAGTTGAAATGTCTCTGCCGTGTTGAGGAGAGGCAAGTCGGCGCCTTTGTGGACCGGGATGCAGGATAGGTTCCCAGCCTCTAGCAGGGCGAGGGCATGGAGACTGGCCTGTCGAGACCAGGTGTTGGCCGTGTCACCGACGAGTCCGAGGACGTCCCAACCTGCGTCGATGGCGAGGAGGAAGGTGATGTAGGCGGTCGCACCCCAGTCGTTGTCGATGATGATCTTGGGAGCACCAGCCGTAGCGGCAGCTCCAAAGACGGTGACGATGGAGGTGGTGAGGAGGAGAAGCTCCCGCTGCCAATGCATCTTGTATAGATTGTATATATAGAAGCTAGCCCTTCCCTCTTTGCAAGAAGCGCACTGAACCTCTCCGGACGAGAATGCCTTCGAGAGAATTGATGCTCGGTGAGGGGAGGGAAGGCCTCTCTTATTGTATTTCACGAGGTCGTCAGATATGGGAGAAGGGAAAGAGGGAAACAAGAAGAAACAGGATACGGCCAAGCCAATTGAGCTATTTACTTGTACTTGACTATCTGCGGAGTATGATAAACATTGTACTCTCGTACATGGCAAAATGACCCGTTGAAGCCCCGGGGACGGAGTACTCCGATTCATCAAAGAGGCAGGGTATAGAAGGAAACAAACGGCAAGAAGGTTGCAGTAGTGCAAGTACGGAGTAAACATGAACATGGATCGAGGTCGGGACCGGTTAATGGCGAGTGATGGCAGCACGATAACGCAATTATTAATGGGCCGCGTAATGTTTGTAGCCATCTGCTAGTGCGCCCCTCTCCTCACGATAGCCAATGCCGGGATGGGGAGATAGTCCGAGAGAGAGAGAGGAAGAGAGAGAGAAGAAGAGGGAGAGAGAGGGAGAGGGAGAGGAAAAGAGGGAGAGAGGGAGGGAGAGAGAGAAGAGAGAGAGTGTGTGTGTGTGTGTGAGCCCACCACTATCATCTACTTGCGGGTGGTCCTGCGGGTGGTCCTGCGGGTGGGTGGGTGTAAGACGGATTAGATGTGGCTGCAAGGAAAGATAGCATAATTCCTCGTGGGCACGGAATTGATCGACTACAACCAGGTCGGGATGGATAGAATCGAACCTTCTTCTTCCTATGGATCAATTGGATCCCCAGCAATTCTCCACCAGGTAATAATACAGGTACGAGTGCGAGTGCGGTAATGACATTACGGGCTGTACAGATTACGGCAGTCAACACCATGACATATGTGGCTTCGTCGTGGTATGACGTAGCCGTTTCGACACCAGAGTATATATCTAGCAATATGCGTACAATCAGTGTCACAGAATGTCGTGTTCAATTGGATGCGTGCCGTTTTCGATATCTTGCATTTTGTATTTATGCACATATGTATATACATATACATGTACATATATATTTATATTATGTTTTCAGCAATCCCCCCCCCCCAACCCCAAGAAAAAAAAAGAAAAAGAAAAAAAAACAGATTTGATCTCTCCCCAGCTTTGACCCCGCATTATATGTTTCTTTAGTAGTAGCAATTGTTTCGTTTCGACAAGGCCATCATTGCTGGGGTCTGGTCCTACGATACAATAAAGTCATCATTACCAGGTCAAGAGGATGAAGAGCAGAAAGCAGAGAGGTACAGACGCCGAGACGGACAGGTTCAGCATCATAACGGACATGTATGCTTTTTATTAATAGTCATTTTGAAAAGAAGAGAAAAATTAAAAGAGGATAAGAAAAATCGGAGCATGGAAACCCCCCCCCCCCCTTCTTCTCTAGTCAAACGTGACCTTTGTACCCGTCGACTTGACCACGGCACCCGTCAACCTGGCAACCTGTATATCCGAAGACCCCTTCAGCTCGCCGCCCGCAGGTCTGCCAGGACCTTCACCGCCACGGGGCTTGCCTCCGGGTCCCTTGCCACCCTTGTCCGGCTGCTGGGCGTCCTTGCCGAAGCGCTTCTTGTAGCGCACGTGGTCATCCTCTGCGAGCTCGATCTTGAGGGTACGGCCGAGGATACGGTTGACCCACCATTTCCTCGTCTTGTACTGCCTCTGCTGTTGCTCATTTCCCCTGCCATTGCCGTTGCCGTCGTCGCCGTCGTCGTCCTTGCCGTCGGCAAAGTCCTCCTCTGTCTCGATGGCCTCCTTGATCTTGACGAAGCCCTTGACGGCCCAGGCGGCGGCGTCGGCGTCCTTGAACTTGACCCACCCGAAGCCCTTGCACTTGCCCGAGTCCTCAAAGGTGGCCACCTTGACGGACTCGATCTCGCCGCACTTGTCAAAGTTACGCCGCACGTCCTCCTCGGTCGTCTGGAAGCTCATGTTTCCGACAAAGATCTTGCGACCGGCCTCGGCGTCCTTGCTGAAGGCCTGCTTCTGGTCCTGCAGGGGCTTCGACTTGCCGTCGGCAACCTCGCCGTCGGGACCGACCACGAGTGCCGCCGGCTCCTTCTTCTTGGGCCGGCCCTCGAACGAGGTGGAGTCCTTGATCAGCAGCTTGCGGCCGGCCAGCTCCGTCTCCGACAGCGCGATGGCCGCCACCTTGGTCGCCATGTCCGCCACGTCGACGTAGGCGAAGCCGCGGTTGCTCGGCTTGGCCGACTTGTCCCTCCCCGGATCCTTCAGCGTGGGCAGCTTCATGCGCGTGATCGACTCGGACGTGATGGCGCCGCCCGAGTTGCTCACGAGCCAATCACGCAGCTGCGCCGCCGTCAACAGGAAAGGCAGGTTGCCGATCCACACGCCGTGCTCGGACCGCGCGGGCTTGCCGCCCTTGTCGGTCGCACCCTCGCCCGCGTCGTCCTTGGTCAGGTCGTCGTCGTCGTCGTGTCCGTTCCTCTTGCTCTTCTTGCCGGCGCCGCTGCTGCCCAGCTTCTTGCCCTTCTTCAGTGCGCGCTTGGCCTTCTTGGACGGAGGTTCTGGCGCCGACAGGTCGACTTCGATGTCTACAGCATTGGCCTTGCGCTTGGAAGATTTCTTGGTCGTGTCCGCCTCCGATGATGATGCGACGGAATCGGGACTCGCCGATTGTCTGTCGTCTGCTGACATGCTTGTCTGTGCGTGCGTGCGTATATGCGTGCGTGTATGCGTGCGTGTGTGTGTGTGCGCGTGTGTGTCTGTATCGAATATCGAATATCGTTGTTACGTATTGATTCAGTATTCGCTCCCCAACAGTGCAGCAAAAATTCGTTGGCAGTGAATTGATTTTTTTTCCCCCCCCCCCCCCCCCAAGGCGGCGTAGCTGATAAGCGATAAGCTACCGAGCGAGTTTGGGAAGGGCCGTGCTCCGATGTGGGTGGGGTTTGTGTGGCTTCCCGTGGCGGCATGCGATTTCCTGCTTTCCCCATGGCTTCGGAGGGATATCATAATTTGAAGGGATGGAATGGGTGTTTCATGAAATGACTCTGGTTACAGCATCATTGATTGGACTGGAGAATGGGCCGAGGTAGCTTGTCTCCTGTTTTCCTCTTTCGCTCTTTTTCTTTTCCTTCATCGGATGGTCTTCTATTGAACGGATGTGGTCAAGATGACGGACGCTGTTGATCATCTATTTACTAGCAAAGTGCCATCATAGACGCTGAAGAGCGACAGGCGGTCGGCGATCTCTGTACGGGAATTTTGTGAGCACGAACCTGGGCGTACCCCGACGCTCCGTACGGGCAGAGAGCATCGAGCGTCAATGTCTTTCTGAGCAATAGCAGCTGACAGTAATCTGTAGTAGTATTGCAATTTATCTACCTCTCGTAATAACGGGTTCGCCTTGGTTGGGATTATCCCTCTATATTGACGTATCAACACGCAATCAAGCAATAAACTGGCAGCACACGCAATGGTAATATTAATATGTCCATGCCCGCCATGATTGAATCCCTCTGAGCGCATGAATGATGAATGTCGGGTTTACGTCGTATAGATTACGATACGACTTCACTCTGACTCAAGCTTGCCTAGGACAGACGCACGAGCTGCTGCTGCTATTGCGAAGGAATATTATCATTGGCGTACTCAGCATGGTAGCTTGAATGCTGACCGGGACTTTTCTTCTTCTTCTGTCACGTGCATGACTCGTAGCCTGTAGGGACTCTTTTGGGCTTCTGGCATCGCCGCCCGGGCCGGTGACGATGCTAGTAGTTAGGGTTCAGCGACTCTAGTGACTCCGTCGGCACCCCGTCTCACAATCAACTCAGCAATACGGCTTCTGGTCCAGAGGGTGCCATTACCACGTAACTCGCATGTACTCGCAGTGACACCCGTCAATACGTACTGCTGCAGCAAAACTCGCAGTCGCTCGTGACACTGCGTCGCACTGAGGTACAGATACCGCTGCAGTCTACGAGTATCGCTACTGCCGCTACCATAGTAATACTGCCGCTACTACTCCGTACATATACACTAGTAATACCGTACAGCCTACGCCGTCATGCGTACTCGTAGCAGCAGAGTACCAAGTTGTGCGTTAGTGTGACCAACTAAGCCCGCCTCTCTCCGACGGACAACCAGCATTCCTCTCCTCTTCTTTTCTCCTCCTCCTCCTCCTCCTCCTCCGCTTCCTCCGCCCTCTAAATCATACAACTCATCAACGTCAATATTCGACAGCCGACAACGCACTCACGCACGCACGCACGCACGCACGCACGCACGCACGCACGCACGTCTGGGTCACCCACACCACCCAGTTTCTGCCGCTTATTCGCTCTTCCATCCCAGCCTCGCCCCTTCACCGCCCTGCCAGCTGGGCGCCGGGCTCTCTGTGGGGCCTAAACCTGCCCTGTTGCTGGGCGCCTAATTATACCCCTCGGCCAAAACTGCAAGCCGCATGATAATCATACTTGCTGCTCCATCCCAGTCTGGCTTGTTCTCCTCACGCATCAGCCCCGATTAACTTCCAACTCGCTCAGAACACAGACGAGCGGCTGTCGATAATCGCCCCTTTTAAACTGCACTCATCGCCCATCTCGCCAGACAAGACCTTCTTTTTTTTCCCCCCTCACCTTCGCCACTCTCTCGTCCCCATCTCTTCACCCCCGCCGGTCTTCTCCCTCCGTCGCTTTCGAGCCATCAATCTGGGTCCCCATTCTCCTGTGTGGTCCGTTACTTCCTACGACAATGAACGTTCTGCTCTCGCCCCAGCCGTCTGCCTTCCCGCATCGTCACGAGAATCCGCGGCTCTCTCCTCAGAGATCCGGTAAGATTATGCTCGTCATCTTTTCTTCCTGTCTCAACCTTCAATCTACCCTGCTGGTTTGCGGCCACGAGGTCGGGATTTGCCGAGTGGCGTGCATGGTTTTTTTTTTTTTTTTTTTTTTTCGCTCAATCATCTCCTCAATGCTGACTGATGGGACTGGACCGAACAGCCTCCCCATTTCAAAACATGATTCACCGCAAACGAAAGGCCGACGACGACGACGACGAGTCCATGTCCACGTCACCATCCCTCTCCCACCGTCCCTTGGCCCGTCCCTCGAAAAAGGTCCGAGCCAGCGATGCCATCGGCCGACCGCTGAGCCTATCACGCCTGCTCGAGACCCTCGATTCGGAACAGCTCCGTACTGTTCTGGAACGTATATGCGAACGTCACCCGGATATCGGCCAAGAGGTCGTTGCCGGTGCCCCTCGCCCGACCGTCGAGAATGCCATTTCCGTCCTGCAGGAGTATCAGGATAAGCTAAAGGCTGCTGTCCCGTACGGCGAGACAAGCCCCGAGTACATGTACCAACGAGTCAAGGAACCCCTGGTGGCGCTCCTGAACGCCCTCTCCGACTTCACCCCTCAGTTCCTGCCTCCCAACGAGACACAGCCCTCGAGGGCCCTGGAGTACCTAGACGGTGCCACGAACTTCATACATCAACTCCCCGACTGGGAGCCCCACGCCTACCGGCATCACAAGGAGAACGCATACGAAGACATCTCCAGAGCCTGGGCCTTGGTCATCAACGAAGCTGCCAAGCGGGGCGGCGGTTTCAACCTCCACTCGGACGGCTGGGACGCTACCCTTCAACGTCACAACACCCGGTCAGGAGGTCGCCTGGGCCCTGCTCTGACAGCCATGTCGGACAACATTGGCTGGATCTCGTCGAACAGCAACAATGGCGGCAACGCCAACGACTCGATCCTCAACCAGCTCATCTCTGGAACTTACAGCTCCTCGCCCGTACGCGTGGGCCCATGGTAAATCGGAAAAGAAAAGAGGAGTAAAGGGAGGAAAAGAAGGCGGGAAGCCTACATCATCATCTCTGCCCACTTCAGGTGGCATGCCATATGCCACAACTCGACTCTCGTCTGCATACATACCATGACAAACGACACCTGATGATTTTCCTTGAAGATAAAGAGATTAGCATAGAACACCGGCGCTTCACATTTTTTTTGTTTTGTCTTTTACTCTACTTGCACCACCACCTGGCTGGCATGGCGTTATGAAATTTAGGTGCTCCTTCTTTGTGTGTTCATTTTGTCATTTGGTTTTCCTTTCCCTTACCGTCAGAACATGGGTATCATACTTGGCCGAGACGCTGTAGTCAATCTTGGCCCCTACACAGCACCATTCACTTTTCTTTCTACTTCTTTCTTTTTTTTTCTTTTTTCTGCGAATACACGGATAATAAGGGGAGGACTTGCATGCCTCAATTTACTTGAGTTGATCTCGCACAGGATACTTAAACTGTAACATGGATTTTACTAATATTGCATAGTAATGTAGCGCCATCCGCGGTAACAGTAAGGACAGGTCCTACTTCCAGGAGTGGCCATATCATGATCGCAAACGGCCAGGATAAGAATCCGATGTAGCTGCATCAATCTCCGGCGTGTTTGCTCAGGCAGGTTTGTGAGGACTGACGTCGGAAGAATGGCGCAGTGTGGTCACGTGCTTTGGTGCAGACACGCGCCGAAGGTCAACCGTGAACGCGGCATCTCTTAATTCCCGACCTCGATAGCCACAGTAATGATGCTGATAACACGCCAAAGTCAATAAGAGATCAAAGCTCTAACCCGACGCATCATTCATCTTGACAGTCGCTACACGGGATATCATCTATCTCTGTGAGGCGGTAGATACAACAACGGTTGCCCACCATGCCTGCGTGAGCCTTTGGCCAAACCTCCCCCTCTACCCCAACGACGCGTCTCGTTTCACGAACGTTGCTGACCGTGAACCCCCCCAAAAAAAACCCCCAATCAGACCAGGCGATCAGCACCACACATGGAAGAATCCATTCGAGGACGAGAAGCCGCGGATGTCGATGTGGACGGCACAGGAGATTGCGACGATTGCCTCGCGGCTGGACAAGCAGCTGGGGCCCGAGTACATCTCTGCGCGTGCGGGCCCCGGAGGGCAGCGTGTGCACTACCTGACGGCGGAGAAGTGCATCACGCTGGCCAACGAGGTCTTTGGCTTCAACGGGTGGTCGTCGTCGATTCAGAACATCCAGGTGGACTTCGCCGACGAGAACCCGCAGACGCAGCGCGTCAGCATCGGCCTGTCCGTCATTGTGCGCGTGACGCTGCGCGACGGCACGTTCCACGAGGACATCGGGTACGGGTCCACCGAGAACACCAAGGGGAAGGCCATGGCGTTTGAGAAGGCAAAGAAGGAGGGCACCACCGATGGGCTCAAGCGCGCCCTGCGCAGCTTCGGAAGCGTCCTGGGCAACTGCATCTACGACCAGGAATACGTTAAGCAGGTCGTCAAGCACAAGGCTCATCCCGTCAAGAAGTTCGACCCCAACAACCTCCACCGCCATGCCGACTTTGTCGTCGTCAAGGACGAACCGAAACCTGCTGCTGCTGCTGCTGCTCCTGCCCCCCCTACGGCGCTCCCTCCCCTCACAGCTCCTGCTGCCGCTTCCAGACCGCCACCGCCGCAACAACAACAACAACAACAACAACAACAACAACAACAACAACAACAACAACAACAACAACAACAACAACAACGACAACAAAAGCAGCAGCAGCAGCAGCAGCAGCAGCAACTGAAAGCCGAGCCTTCGGAATTCTTTGAAGACTTCCTTGGAGGTATGTTCTCTTCCGACGGTTTCGAGGACATTGCCACTGAATACTAGCCGCAGAGCTCGACGAGGCCGACTTCTGCGTCCCCGGCGACGGCCATCCCGACGAGATCGTCCTCCCCGACGAGACTCAGACCGCGAAACCCCCACCACCACCGCAACAGCAGCAGCAGCAGGCTCGCCACGACAACATCGTAAACGGCCCACCGCAAACGCCGAATCACAATATTTCGAAGAGGCCGACGGTGGGTATTCCCCAACAGCAACAAAACAGCCGTCCCCCTACCGAAGGAGCGAGTGAAGCACCTACCGTGGGCTTCTTCTCCGCCAAGGCAGTCAACCAGCTCCCCGAGTCTAGCTTCTCAGGCCAGCCCAACGGGGGAATGTTGACGGCCCCACAAGCCCAGCACGTCTTCAACCCCAAGCTTGAGAGCCCGTCTATCCGCAAGACGCCCGGGATCGACCACAACTCTTCCAAGCCCGTGTCCCGCGGCGGCCAGCACGTCCCACCCACCACCATCACGAGCAGCCAGGCCCAGCAGCAACAGCAGCAGCAGCAGCCCCAGATAGCCAACTCAAGCAGCTTCACCCCCGTGCGGCCATCGCAGGCCCGTATGGGTGGCAGCGGCGGCAACGTCATCAACCCGGCCCTCGACCAGACTCGTCGTATCGGTGCCCCCGGCGGTATGGGCAGTCCTCTCGGCAACCGCGGTTCCTTTCGTCAGCCTACCATGAAGAGACCGCCACCAGCTGGAGAGGCCAACAACGGTACTCGACCAGCACTTGCTGACCTCCCGGCTAATTCGGCAGGTGTGCCCAACGGCCCGGGCGATGGCACGGATGCGAAGCGGCAAAAGACGACTTGATGGTGGGAAGTGCTATATCAACGGTGTATTATTGCCTAATGACTCGGTGGCATTTTCTTCTTCTTCGCCTCTTCGCTGTTATTGCTGGAATTCGTCATGTATTAGCGTGTCTTTTGTTGCTTTATTATATGGGGAAAATAAATTGAAGCATTTGTTTTTTTCTTTTTACGCCGGAAAGAGTGTTTTGATCCGATAATAGGTTGTCATACAGATTCGGTATTGACTATGATGTACATGTGCGTAGTTGTGGTTCCTCCTTACTACCAGTAGAAGTGCTATTTCCTGCTCTTCCTGGCCGCCAGTATCCTCAGACCATCCTGGGCCTTTGCTACGCCCTCGGGAAAGTCAAGCTTGGCGCTCAGCTCGATGCACTGGTTGTACTTGTTGCGAGCGACGTCCGGACGGCCCTGCATGGCGGCCACGTCGCCCCAGTTGCACAGGGCCACGGCGCAGGCCTCGTCGCACTCGGGCGTGCGGTCCTCCCCCTGCACGTCGCGGGCGTGGATGTAGGCGTTGCGGGCCCAGTTGACGGCCGCGTCCAGGCAGTCGGCGCGGGAGTTGGGCATGGCGGAGTCGAAGATGGCCTTGAGGGACTGCGTCTCCGTCTCGGCCCCCGGGCTGCTGCCGATGCCTTCGCCACCCGAGGCGGTGGGGCTATAGATGGGATGCTGGGCGAAGCAGGCCGACAGGTTGTTCATGATGACGGCGCGGTGGCAGGGGCTCTCGCAGTTGCGCAGGCCCTGGAAGAACAGGGGGATGGCCAGGTGGAAGTGCGACTTGCGCTCGTAATCACGGCCCAGGGACTCCATGGTGCCACCGACCTCGGCGGGCGTCATCCACTCCCCCTCACCCGGCTTGGCTCCCTCGAGGCGGCGTCGGCGGAACTCCTTCAGCGTCGTCTCCACCGACCATACTAGGTGGCGATGGGAGTTGTCTGGGTCGAGGACGTGGGGGTCCGCGTAGATCTCGCCCAGCTTGACGCTCGTGGACACGGCCTTTTTCAGGAGCCGCTCGCGACGGAGCCACTGGGTCTCGCTCTTCTCTCTGGCCTCTTCCGCCTCGGGTCCCCACTCTAGATCGACCAGCTTCTGCTGCTGCGGCTCCTTCTTGTCGTCGACGTTGGCGGTGGCGGGGGTAGACTGGCCGTCGGCGTCGGGCTTCAATCGGCCGTCCGGCCCGATCTGTCCGTCCTTGGCTCGCTGCTCCATGCCGTCAACCCACTGTAGACAGTCCCTGCGCACGGACTCGAGCACCTCGGCGGCGTCGCTAAGCCTGTCGTTCTTCTCCATCCAGAAGGCCACCAGGATGCGGATGCCCAGCACGCGGTCCGACAGAGGGTCCAGCCCCAGCTGCCGAGTCTCAGCCATGGCCTTCTTGTAAAACTTGAGCGCCCGGTCGGCGTCGGGTCGGATCGTCGTGTAGTAGATTGCGCGGCGAAGGGTCGTGGCTAGCGGCTCGGGATACCGGCTTATCTCGGGGTTGTAAAAGGTCTTGTAGAAGACGCGCAGTACTACGGCGCTCAAGGTGATGGTCGTGACTAGCCTGGATTTGTTGTTGTCATCAGCAGAAGCCCATAAAGGGCTGAGTGGAGGAATGCATACAGAACAATGACCAGAGCCGTAGTGACTGGGGAGTCTCGCGATACCTGCCTGAAGCCCTTGCGGCTGGTCAGGTAGGCCAGGTTGCGGATACCGACGGTGAGGGCACGCCCGGTGAGTTGACGAAGGGTAAGCTTCGGCTGAGGCGGCGGCTTCCTCGATGACTCTGAAAGATTGGACTCTGTCTCGTCGGACTGACATCGTCGCTGCTCGGGTCGCAGTGGGGTGGCCCGGATCCGGAAACTGTTGGCATTGCGCGCCTGGAGAGGTACTGCAAGAAAGGCAACGTTGGCCCGGCGCAGACATCGGCCGTTCCCGAGTGGCCTTGACGAGGCCAGTGCCGATAATGACATTGCCGCTGTGGGGGAGGATTTGATGTTTTGCTCTATGATGATGAAAGAGTCCGACGTAATGGTGCTTGCATCGTGTGGTGCTACAGTGTAAACCTAGGAGCTCCCCTTAGTCAGACACGCCATCCAATAGGCCGAGGATGGTTTGCGATAATACCGCGGGGGTGGGGCACGCCGCACCCTACACTCGGTCTCCTCTCACACAACGGAAAATGACATAAACTTGGATCGTTCATCAGTCACTGGAGGAAAGAAAGCTACACGCCTCAAAAGTGTTCATCCTAGGCTGAATACCAACAAGTGACAGCATCAGCATCCTTGTCGCCTTAAGAGGAATCCCACAGTCGTCATGTCAGGCAAGTTTGAACCCAAGGTCCCGGTCAAGCTAGACCCCCCCAAGGACGATCCCATCCCTGCCGAGGAACTAGCTAAAGCCACCGGTACGTCCCAAGTCCCCCTCTATTCGGTCCCAAGAGTCTGGAATGCCATGCCATGGAGGAAATATCGGCTGCATGGGAGATTTGTGACGCAGGAGAGACGGGGGCGGTGATGGCCATGTCCGGGCCCGACTAGGACGAACCTGCCGCCTCACTGCCCCGCTCCGCTCCTCTCTTCAACAATGTCTTCTCCACGCTCCCGCCCCTCTCCTCCTCGTCTCACAAAGCCAGCTGGCAACTTGAACTGCTTGCTTCTTGCCCTATCTAACAGCACTTTGCGGTCTAGGCGCCGACGGTGGGAAGTGCTACGTGGCTATCAAGGTATGTTGCATCTCTGCGATCCCCCGTCACGGCATTGGTTGGACTGACGAGATGTCGTGGGTGTGTAGGGCAAAGTCTACGATGTGACTGGGAATAAGGCCTACCAACCTGGTGGCTCCTATCACGGTATGTCCACTCCGTCCACTCTCTTCTTCTTGTCGTCATCGGAGGCCCTCATGTCGCACACGACGAGATATATGTATATATATATATATATATATATATGTGTGTGTGTGTGTGTGTGTGTGTGTGTGTGTGTGTGTGTGTGTCCTACGTGTGTGCGTGTGCTGACGAGATTCGTTCTCTCTCAAGTGTTTGCGGGTAAGGACGCATCGCGGGCATTGGGCAAGACGTCGACCAAGGTCGAGGACGTGAGCTCCGAGTGGCGGGATCTGGAGGATAAGGACAAGGGCACGCTCAACGACTGGGTCACATTTTTCTCGAAGCGGTACAATGTCGTAGGAGTCGTGGAGGGTGCTACGAATATGGAGTGATGTATCTCGTGGCAAGCAAACAGCATGAAGAGAAAGATGCCGACCTCGAGAACGACAGCTGTGTCTCATCTTCCCGGAAGGGGGACGTCAAAGACGTCAACGGAGAGATTGATCTTGTATGTCCGGTTAGACCCTTGTGGCGTCTCGTCCTTCTTTCCGCAGAGCAATACACCACCAGCCAGGGGAGGCATCTGTCGGGGAATGCGCCCCCGACTAGTCCTTGTCGCGATTCGACTCTCCGTCGCGCCTCATCATCAGGACATCCTTTTCCATCATTGGCTCTTCTGTTTCCCCTCCCCGCCCTGCTCGGCTGGTTGCTCATCATCAGGTGCTCTGTTACGTCTGGGCTCTGCAAACGTTAGGTCACAACGGTCCGCCTCACTTGCTGTGCATGACCGCCAATCAGTACGCGACCAGGAACGTAGGATTCTGCCATTATGCAAGGATTTTTTTTCCAGCGACCGATGAATATCAGTTGACGTGTTCTCAGTCACGTACGTCAGTGGCTACATCCTTCTTTAGACCGCTCATCATCGCACACACAGGCATGGAGACTGTAGTAGGGCGGTGATGCCACATGGCATGTATGACCGGTGGTCTACATGCAACAACAATACCTCTGCTTACTAGCAGTAGCCTTACAAGATGGATTGCTATACTACTACTCCTCCTGTACACTCGAAAGAGCCCGATGAGAGCATGGCAGGATTTCCCGATAATTCCCAACATGCTACTCGGCGCTCACCCACCAGGCCTCGAGCCTTTCCGAGTTCTCGGCCGATTCATGATGCTACCAGACATCACTTGCTGTGATGCATCTGACAACCTGGCAACACTCTACCGAATAACCATCCACCCACCGCTGTTCGTGTTTTCAACAATAACTTCCGCATAGTAACTGCTGTGCGACGACAAGTTACTCAGATCACCCGGGCAGGACACGCACTGCTTGTGGTATGGAGCAATGAAGAGTATTGGATCCGTGGCCTATCGCTGTGGAGAGTCGGTCTTATTAATAACCTATCGATATCCTTCCTCCCTTCGCCTAGCCTCGACATCTTTGTTCTTTTTTCTTCTCCATCATCGCCATCATGCTTCCACTTTAGTCCGACCCCACACATACATCTTTATTCCCTACGCGAGCAGTATCAAATTTCTGACAGCCACTCTCTATCCCTACTCTGCGGTTCATCCATCCTCCCAGTCATCTACACCCTCCCCCATCATCTCCACCTCCGCCTCGAGTCCTGCAGGGGCTGATGTCAGTATGAGTGTGTCTGATATGAACACATCCGAAATGAACTCGCTCAATACAGATCTGTTCATGTCCACTACCGGCGCAAGCAGCACCCAGCCCGACCGTGCCACCTTTCAACAAGCCTGGATGTCGAGCATGTTTCCCGTCGCCGTCACGGGAGGGAACGGCCAGGTTCATAATTGGCTTCTCTGGGAATGCCCGTGGACCGCGCCCCAAGGTAACATGTTTGGCGTCTCTTCTTTGGGAGTTACTCGAAACAGCCCGTTCCATGTGAACTACAAGCTCGCCGGCATCCAATCCGAGTGCGACACCGTTCCCGGCGATTCGGGCTACGGCAGCTTTCTCCCCTCCAGCATCCCGGACACGTCGGCCTACAGTGAGGATGTCAACCAGTTCTTACGGGATGCGGAGAATGGCATGATCGACCTCCACACCACCGGGGCCGGCTCCTGTTCCCTGTCCGGCGGCGTGTCGGCCCGCGACGGACACGTCATCACCGCCAACACGTCGACTACACCGTCCGGCGGTGGGCTGCGGAACTACGTGTGCTCGGACTGCGGGGAGCTATGCAGGTCCAATTCCATTCTCAAGTGAGTTGACCGGCATATCCTTTTGCTGCCCTTCGCAACCCGGCTCTCCTCCTCCTCCTCCTCCTTCTTCTTCCTATTTGCAATGCCATCTTTTACTGACCAAGGTGCCTGCCCAGGAAGCACCGTCTCCGGCATGAGAAGCCATTCGTCTGTCAGGAAGGCTCGTGCGCTAGGGGCACTGGCTTTACCTCGAAAAATGACCTGAACAGGCACCTGATGACGGTGCACAAGAATATCAGCCTGGGCATCACATACGTCTGCCATGAGGAGGCATGCCGCACAAAGCCTCCCAAGGCTTGGCCGAGAGCAGACAACTTTAGATCGCACCTGCTGCGGGTTCACAAGATAGCAGTCCCGGCGGATGGCGACTTGTCCCGTTACCACAATCGGTATGGCTAATCTCCTCTCTCTCTCTCTCTCTCTCTCTCTCTCTCTCTCTCTCTCTCCTCAGCTATTGATATCGTGTCCGCAAACCACCAGGTCTAGTGGTCCCATGGTGGACGAGTTGTCGGGAGTGGGCACGGGGCACCAAGAACTTGCTCTCCCTCCAGCTAGGTCGGTAGCGTTCTCAGACGTCATGCTAGCCCAGGATGATCCAGCGAGCCCCCAAGAGGTGGACTCCCTAGACCTCCCGGCGGACGTTGGCGAGACCAGCATCCAGCCCTGCATCCCCGACGATGCCCTTCTGATGCCACCCCCTTCGGCCCATCGATGGCATACGAGTACCAGTACCACGCAGCCCAGGGATTCCCAGCCCTCCTCGAGTACGTCTCTACAGTGTCAAAGCGCCGCCCTGAAACCGTTTGTCTCCGGTGTTCCTGAGGGCCATCTCCAGGATAATTCGGGAATCACAGCCCCTGCCCGGTATCTCAAAGAGGATTCAGATTCGTCCCCGTCAGAGCCCCTCGACGCCCAGTGGACGTCGGGTGTCGCTGAGAAACAGCAGTCTGTCTCCTCTTCAGGCGAAGAGAACGACCTAGACCAAGATAGGCCCGACTCCAAGATCCTGCTTTCGGTGCCTGCTACGTCCACTTCTGGAGCCCAAGACCTGCACCTTGATTATTCACAGATGCTCGAGTGTCTGAAGAAGATTCCGCCTAAGCTTTTGAAGGCAGCCCTCAACGACAAAAAAAAACCGGAAAAATTGGTCAGAAGAGCGTTACTCAAGTGTCCCGAGTGTAACAAGAAATTCCGTCTTCCATGTGAATTGAAGTGAGTCTCAGCCACCCCCCCCCTTTCTCCCCTCTTTTCCCTGAAGCAGCTATCATCGGCTGTTTGTTACTAACCTTTTCCGACGCAGGAAGCACAGGAAGCGCCACGACCGGCCATATGGCTGCACTGTGTCGCAGTGTCCACAGAACTTTGGCAGCAAGAATGACTGGAAGAGGCACGAGTCTAGTCAGCACAACCCAAACGACTTGTGGCATTGCAACTGTAATCACGCAGGTGGGAGCTGCGGTAGCTCCAGCTCCAGCTCCAGCGGCGTCGGCGTCGGCGCCGGGCACTGCACAAGCTCCTTCTGGTGCGGCTTCTGTCGCAGTCTCATCTCGGTCGTCGTCGGTGACCGGTCCTCCTCTCCGCCGGTGCCCAGCCCCATAGACCAGAGGTTCAACCATATCGACGATCACTTCATGGGGCGCGGCGGCCTTCCCGTCAAGAACATAAAAGAGTGGTGCTCCGACAGAGGTCAGGCTTCTGGCCAGTCCTCCGACACGGGCCACGACAACGGTCAGCATCGGCAGCCCCCCAGCAGCGACGACGACACTGGCCCCGGAACCGCCCATCTCGAAGGGGCTGGCAAGTTGATCTCACATCCGAGCCGACCGCTTCAAAGGCACCACCTGCTAAAGCCGGCGGGCTCGGACCAGCAGTCACAGCACAGTGAAGACGACTGGCGAGCCCGCTGTCAGCAGCAACAGCGGCCGAAATTAGCTTCAACACCATCATCCTCGTCGTCGACCCAAAGCGGATCATCAGCGGCACTGGTGCCGTCGTCGTCGTCGTTCCACCAGCCGTCAATATCGACCACGCACCAGCAGCAGCAGCAGCAGCAGCAGCAGCAGCGGCAGCAGATCCGGATCATGGTCAGCCGCAAACGAAACTTAGACCAGTACCAACAGTGCCAGGCCCCGGGTTCGAATCAAGACCGCAGCAGCCACCGCCGGACTACGCATCCAAATGACGCATCCGATACATCATCCCACTCTGCCACTAAACAGCGGCATATCAAATTAGAAGGGTGAAGCAGTCGTGCTTTTCCTTTCTCTCCCCTTCTCTCTCTCTCTCCTTCTCTCTCTCTCTCCTTCTCTCTCTCTCTCCTTCTCTCCTCTCCTTTCTCCCTTCCTCGCCTTCATACCCTATATATTTTTCAACAATATATCAATCATTACATACAAAACATCCTGTACAAATTCATGCTCTCAATCACTCTGTATCTTGGCACAACCCTCATCCCCTCTATACGAGATACATTGTCACACGGAGCGTTTGGCATTCACATTCGCATAGTAGTGGTCTTGGATACCTATTGTAGACTACACCGCAAGGTCACAATTTACGTATATTAATACATTCTTTACGCACAACACATTACACCATACCTCAGTCGCAATGCACCCTGGCCCTAGTCTAGTTAAATTCGGCATGGCAGGCTTGGCTAAGTACTAAGAGAACTAGAGCTATAAACTGCAGAGCCACGACTTCATCTACTTCCTCGCCTTGTGTACCCTGTATAAGTCGAGCCATCAGGCCTGATACAGACACCCGACAAAGTATGCCATAATATGTACAGAACACTACCCCCATGTTCTCAGAAAGACCCCTCGTAATGCGTACCTTCTGTGTCGTTTATCCTATATACTTGATCAATTTTCGTTGTCCATGATGACTGCATCACAGGCCACCCTACTGCTTCTCTCAGATTAAATAAATTTTTCTGTAAAAAAATAAAATAAGACAAAAGGTCTCATAGCATGGCTGCTTCTCTCTCAACTGAAACCGGCAACTTTGATCTCTTCCGACTTGTTGCTGCTGCTCAAGATACCCTTGGCTGGCTTGGTCCTTTTCAACGCCTGGCGGTTGTTCCGCCACTGCTGTCTCATCTTGCACTTCATAGCATATCCGGGCTCGTTGGCCTTTCGCCACTCAATCCACGCCTCATACGCCAGCTGATCCAATGGATCTGATTTCTTGGGCCTTGGTACTGGGGACGGGCATGCCATTGGCTTTGGTGTCATGCTCATCATCGGACTTTGTGGTATACGGGGCAGCGACATAAGCTTTGGGAAGGGAACCGGGCCCGCAGCGCCGGGTAAGGAGAAGTAGTTCGGCCCCATCCTGCCGGCCGTCAGGCCCGGCTGCCAGGTGGCTCTCGGCATTGAGAACGGATATGATCCAGGAACTCTACCAAAGGTTTTAGGCTGGTATGGTAAAGGATACTGCGGTGGGCCGCCGGGCAGCGGGCCCGTGCCATATATGGTATTGTTCACGTCATACATGCCATCCATTCCTGGGGATGGAATATACAGGGGAGGCATGGTCGGAGCTTGCTCCATGCCTCCGGGGATGGTCTGTATGGGGTTACAGGGGGGCACATAATCCATGGTCGGCGGTGCTCTCTTCGTCGACTCGGCGTTCCTCGAAAAGAGCTCTTTGAGGTCGACGGGCCGGAACCTCCGGTGGCTTTCTTCGGACAGCTGGCTACTCCGCTCGGACAAAGACAGAAACTCTCGTGCCTTAGGATTGAACGTCCCGGCGGAAGTCTCGGTGATAAGTTTAGAATTGGTAGGTGTGTGATTCGTTGGCGCCGATGTATATCCTGAGTCCGAGGTGCGCATGAGCCTGTCTTCAGGTTTGTTCAGTATAGTATGGGTTCCCTGCCTTCCATTCAGGACGATGCTGTGCTCAGAGTAACTCGTCGACTCCCTCGCTGGCTCATCCAACCGGCTCCCGGACTCCTGCGAAGACTTCTCTTGGGCTGTACCCTGCAGCCTTCGGATACACTTTCGAAAAAGTGCGTCTTCATCGTCCGTCGAGTCTCGTGCTGGTACAGACGCAGAGGAGACAGGTTCAACAGATGTTTGCTTGGCTGCCAGATGGTTCGGGTAATAGTCGCTCTGAGGAAACTTGCTTTTGTCATTGAGGGGATTCTCCAGCATGCCTCTGTTGCGGTGCTTCTCCACCCGTAGCTTTGGGAGACTGGCAAGCTCCCGGCTGTACTCCGATCCCACTAGGGGAGGTCGGCAGCTCGCCTTCTGCGGTGTCTTCCCGGTGAAAGTACTGGTATCAGCTGCGGACTGTTTCACGTGCTCCTCAAACCCGCGTCGGATTGTATACGGCGCTGTCCCGATGGATCCCCTCTCTGCAGGGCGGATCTCGGCAACTGTCATCTCTCGGCCTCCAGATCTAGCCTGGTGACCTGAAATGGGCTGAAGTTCAATGATACTGAGAGGGGTGTTGTGGGGAACCTGCCTATGACTTAGGACCGCACAATACGTCAAAGACTTCTCTTCATCAGTGTGGCCTCGTTCCTCACACAAGTCTTCGGTCAAGGGAGAGGCCGAAGTGTCGACATTGGCGTATCCGCGGCACTGGCTTGCAGGTGGAGAGAGGTCTATGAGATCCCCTGGAAGCGTTTCATCGTGGTCTAGATGCGAAGGTGACGCATCAGCCTTTTCTGGCCCAGCCTGACTCCAGTAAGGCGTCAGCTCGGAGTGTAGCTGGATCCAGAAGGGGCTCTTTGCACGACACCCAGACTCCTCAGTACTCTCCCTCTGGCGCCAGTTGGGATTCTTCATGGCTTGGGAAAACTTGGAGGGTGGATGAGAGTCGTCTGAACCACGCGAGTGGCGTTCTTGGGTCGGGTGTAAGACTCTCGGGCGGGGAATTCTGCTCTTGGAGGAGCCGCCCGCATGAGAACTCGTCGGGCGAGCGGCGCGAGAATCGGAGTATAGGCGAGCCACTAGATGGGGGTCAGAAGCCATGCACGCAAGGAAGTCTCGATAGGAGAAAATTACTCTCTTGTACATCACTAAGCAACCTGCTAAGTGATGGGAAATATCCGAGAGAGAGATGCCGCCGTGCGCGGGCCTGGGCAGGATGTATATCGCTTCAACGGAGGCCGAGCGAACGAGATGGACCCGGATCAGAGAGGCGGCTATCGATGACGATTCCAGGTATAGGGAACTCAAGCGTTGGTAAAGCAGCAAAAATAATCAAGACCTGAGGGCTTGGGGGCTTGAGGATGACGGCATAGACCTAGGGCGGGCTGGCTGGCTGGGGAAATAAGGGGTTTTTGAATGGCAAGAATACGCTGGTGAGATCGCTTCGATGAGGTGAGGGTAAGGTTGTAACAAAACGCTCAATAAAGCCCAACAAAGAAAGCAGAAATAGAAGGATCCTGTGATTGACGCGGGGGGGGGGGCGGGTTAAAGCAGCAGTCAAGGGTGGAATGATTTTCCTTGAGCAAGAAGGAGCTGACGATATCCCCATGTGGGCGGGGTAAGCACCTTCCCTGGGTAGTTTCGAGTTCGGAGACGTAATGATGGGATGACTTCAGACAGATTTCCATCCCCTGTATATATAAGCACATGTATCTAACATGTATATATATATATATATGCATATCAAGAAGATCACATTTTGCTCTCACTGGCTATGAACAAGAAGCAGCAGTCCGGAAAACACGAGCAGATCGGTCTCTCAAAACAAATATACGGCCGGCCCAAGGTATATACAATGGCAAGAACACGCCCCTTTGCCCGCGCATGTCGACGATATCTAACCCTGGTACGCCTGTCCTTGCATGTAGGCACTGAACGCTTTCTGGTTTACACATCAGCGAGGAACGTTCAGCGGTGGGTGTGGTGGATATTAGGCGCGGATGGGGAAGGGGACTCACCGCGTTCCGGCTCTGGATATAGACGATTCCCGGGCCGGTGAATTTGCAGACCAGGCCTTCGCTGGCGGCGAAGCCAGAGATGATGCCACCAGAGGACACGCGTTCGAGGACGTACTTGCAGTTCCAGGCGACGAGGTGGCCGTTGTCAACGAGGTACTTTTCGCCCTCGATGAGCTGTCAAGTCTTGGTCAGCCAATGCCTCCCGGTCTCCCTCTCCGACGTCTTCCCATCGCGGTTCGACCTACATCTTTGCGGATGATGGCACCGAAGCTGCACATCCACAGCAAGCCCTTGCCGCTGATCTTGTTGACCCAGAGCCCCTCTCCGCTGAACATAGCTTTTCCCAGCCCCTGGCGCTTGTAGTCCTTGACGACAGCCTGGGTGGAAGCAAGGTAGGCGTCGTGGCCGACGGACCAGGTCTCGTTGCCGTAGAGGCGCAAGGTGGAGATGTCTCCGAGCATGTGGGGCGCGAGGAGGAGCTCCCCCGGTCCGGTGAAGGTCGACGTGCCGACGTCCGCGCCGGCAATGAGCTTCTTCACGCTAAGCTTGACCGAGCCCTTGGAGATGATGGTGGGCGACATGGCGAACATGGCGCCCGGCTTGGCGTGCACCGGGCATCCGACGGCCAGCTGGATGGTCAGGATGGTGTTGCAGTCGCGGTGGCTGATGCGGTAGCTGCCGCCATTGAAGGTTCCCACGTCGTCGGACGTGGTAGCCGTGGCACCCTGGAACAGCTCCGCGGGGGGGGCACCCGAGATGAACTTTGGGGGTGCCCCCTGGGTGGCCTCGGTAAAGGACGTCTGATGCGTAGCGTTATTGCTGCTGCTGCTGCTGCTCGCCGCCGCCGCCGCCGCCGCCTGCTGCCGCTCCTCCTCCTGCTGCTTCAGCTTCAGCTGCTGCTTCTCGTCCGGGTAGCCGGACTCGGTCGGGGGGAACGACGGCGGCGGCGCGTCAAACTGAGGCGGCGGGGTCTGCTGCGGCTGCTGCTCGATACCTGCGGACGCAGTACGCAGCGGGATGCTGGACTGGGAAGGCCGCTGCTGGTGATGGGCATGCTGCTGCGCCGGAGGAGGCGACGACGTGTGAGGCGGGGAAGGGTACTGCTGAGCCTGGCCGGAGTACTGCAGAGATGGCGACGGGGTGTGCTGAGGCGGGGCGGAGTACTGCTGAGGAGGCGGGGACGCCGGTTGCGAGGACGGAGGAGGAGGAGGGTAATAGGTAGCTGACGACTGGGACGGGGTAGACTGATGCTGCTGAGGAGGCGGAGGGTAGCTGGGGGAGGGTGTGCTTTGAGATGGCGGGGGATGGTAGAACTGAGCCTGATTCGGAGGGGTCGAGGATGCTGGAGGAGGGGACGCGTAGTACTGCTGCTGAGGAGGTGAAGGATAGGCTTTATCCGGTTGTCAGTACACGCATACATCAATCGCACTCGTCGTCTCGTCGTCTCTTTTCTCTTTCTCTCTCTCTTGAGGGGAGAGAGAGAGAGGGGGGGGGGGGGGAGGGATGAAGACCATAACGTACCTTGGGCTGCCTGGGCCGCACCGGGCGGAGCTATGAGCAATTGAAGTTAGCGGTGATGTCACACCCCGCGCTGTGTGGGGGGTTGAGCTGAAGCTTACGGGGATACTGCTGAGACATTGATGCGTTCTTTTACCAGCCAACAGACATACACACAAAACACGACAGTAGGTCAGGGGAGAAGGGATGCTGTATCGGATGGCGTGAGGGTGAGGATGGGAGGTTGAGAGGGAGGAAGAGAGAAGGAGATATTACTTGGAGAAGTTCAGACGACGACTATCACATCCCCAGAGAAGCAGACAAAGAGGGGTGATAGAACGTGGAGAGAGAGCTCTGGGCTCCGATGCCGTCGACCAATGGTAATGACGGAATTGGCGCCGACATGTACACAGCCGCCTTTCCTCTGATCAGGGCATCTTGGCTTCAGACAGTGGCTTGGGCCGATCCATTCGACTACTGGCAGAGGCACCGTGGCGATATCCCCCGCAGTTGACGCCGTCGTTTCGACGCCATGGACCAATGCACTGGCAGAGCTGGGGGGCAGCATCGAAGACTTGTCCCACGGCCAAGGGATTGTAACGACAGTTCAACAGTCCGGCGCAGACGGCCGACGGGTCGGCAGCGATCAAGGCCAAATCCGTAGCCGCCGTTGTGGGGCCGGCCATCTGGGTCTTGACAGCGGCTACGACGGAGTATTTGGCCTCTGAGCATAAGATGATTTCTGTGTACGAGTATTTCGCACATCTGCGTAGGTTTTATGATGCATTGCCGCATTGGAAGTGTGGGCTCGACCCTTGAGCCTTCGGGGTAGTAACGTCATCGGCTCGTAGCTCGACGGGAGCGGAGTTGTCCTGCGCACCGACCACTGATCATCAGGGAACCCCTGACTGAATGGTTCAGAGTTGGCCCCCAATATGAACTGATCTTGGCAATTTCGTCGCGTCGCGTCACGTCACGTCCAGAATCCGAGTCATCATCAGCTATGGGGGGGGGCGGCCTATGGGCATCGGCATATGTATCCGCAGGTGTAGCCATCATTGCGAGTACATTGCGATGCACGTAGAAGGTCTGGGAAGTGGAAACGAAATGTCGAATGGCTGTAGAGAAAGAAACATCCAATATTACGAGTACAGCTGCTCCTCTCCTCTACCAAACCTGATGACAACTCATCCGTCAACTCCACACCTGTACGGATACTCGTACGGAGTACACGGCATTGAAAAGAGCAAATTACCCCCAATGTGATCCCCCTCCCCCTCCCCTCGGTCAATTGTTCAAAACAAGGGTTGACGTACGGCTGTACGGCTTGTACGAGTACGTCGTAGATACCACTACCAGCCTACATGTAATGATATTACCCACGGGCCATCACCCAGCGTCTACAGATTACAGATTACAGATTACTCGTACTAGCAAGTGGCCCCGGCCAACTTACTCCGGGGCTAGATAACGGGCGCAGAGATGGCCAGGGTCAGAAAAGAATCAAGGATTTCTCTCTCCTTCTTTTCCTATTTCCTAGGAGCAGCGGGGTATTAGATGACAGGGGACCAGAGACGGTTCTTCTCAGAACCGGGGGTTAGGAAGGGGATGATATGAGACTATCTATCAATTCTCATAAGAAGAAAAAGCAAAAAAAAAGGAAAAGGAAAGAAAAAGAGCAGATAACCTGTCAATGACAGAATTTTATTTTTTCTTTTAGCTCTGAACAGCTTAATTGGAGAGGGTGTGAAGGAGTAAAATAAAATAAAAAGCGAAAAAAAAAAAGGAATAAAAGGGGGGGGGGAGGAGAGAGAGAGACACCATGTTTGACCCGATCAGCGTGACTGTCCAAATGCCTAGGCTGCAGGAAGACCGCGACATGTAGGTAACAACACACGTGTTGAATGAGGATATTATCATCACCATCCATTACGAGTGATTTGCTCGTACATGTACGCAGGCCCGAGGCTGCGGGCGAGCGACGACAGCTAAGAGAGCCGGAAGCATCGAGCTGCAGGCTGCAGGGAGGCCCAGGGGTGGGAAGGTGGGAGGAGGAGATGTCCGGGGCGAAGGACGGCAAGGATCAGTCTTCAGGGGGAGGGTGAAAAGGGCACATGGAACGAGCCGTCTATGTGACATGTCTACGGGAATAAGTTCTCGGGGCCAACCTACATGGGACATACATGGGACTTGCTCCGTATACGGAGTCGCGACCACGGACAAGACTACCTTTCTGACTTCTGCAGGGGCGATACGCCGTGGTATATACCCAGAACCATGTCGTTTCACGGTGTTGTGGGTTCCGAGTTGTGGGAGAGAGAAGAAGAAGCAAGGCAGAGGAAGGCCATTGAGGGATGCACACGTGCATGCGATGCCACTAGTATGGACACCGAATACCATCACTACACGTACAGATTACCGATCGTAGCATTCTGTCCTCTTCAATGTATTGCATACATGTACGCCGTAATGAGAACCTCCATCCTCAACAGACCCCTCCCCCCTGATTGCGCCCCCGAACAATGGACAATGACCGGAGCCTCATATGTTGGTATTACTCGTCGTCCGTCATAAGACGATTGCGACGGTCAGCATCCTAGCTACGGAGTACCGTGCTCGTAATCATCGCAACTGACTGCCACCTCATGCCTCTGCGGATCCTACGGAGTCTCTGTTGCACGCTCTCACTCTCTCTACTTCTCCAGGTAATATGAGCAATAATACCCCAACTACGACAGCTTTCTTTATTATTATTATTCTATCCTCCTACTTGTACAGATTACACAATCCCAATCCCATGCCCATGTCCTTGGACCCTCCCCACACAGACCTCTCTCTCTCTCTCTCTCTCTCTCTCTCTCTCAATCAATCCCTCTCTTCAACATCTCCACTGTATTAAACCCTTCTTGGGTCCGTGCTTCAGGAGCTCGGACCGCCTCTGCACTCGTATGGCTGGTCCATGGAAGAGGTAACGAGTGAATGGGTAGGAATGATGGCTCCCCATCTTACATATATATATATATATATATATACAATATATATAATATCATGTACGTACTCGTATGTGCCGAGGGAGTGGTAGAGCTCAGAGGAGGCTTCCCCTCCCCCCCCAAATCAATCTTGCGACCTACCCATCTCCTCAAGTCACGCCGGGTCGGGCGCAACATGGGCATAAGCGCATGGCACTGTGCATTGAACCTCCTCCGTGCCCTCTTTTCGTCCTCCCCCCGGGACATGCTAGTACGATGCGTCGATGCCTACCGAGTGATGGGTGTGTGTCAATCCTATCAACAGAGGACTTGGAAACGTGGAAATAATGAATGAGCCATAACTATCAACCTTTACCCTTGTTCTCTCTCGTGTCCCAAAGGCGCCCGTCAACCACGCCACACACGGGCCACGCGGTTCCCACCCCTTTTCTCTCTTGGCACTCTTTCCCTTGTAAAACAATATATATATATATATATTTTTCCTTTTTTTTTTTAAAAAAAAAAAAAAAAAGGTAAGAGAGAGATCAGTAGCACGGATTTCAAAAGATGAAGGATGAAAGAGAAAGAGAAGGGAAGAGAGAGAGAGAGAGAGAGAGAGAAAAGTTCGCCGTCCCAACTACATCTAGTAGCCAGAGAAGGGGCGACAGAGAGAAGAGACACTTACTGCTGAGATCGACATGTTACATGGCACAGACATTACGCCCACAGTACGGCAGGATGCCCGCCGCTCCTCTTGGACATGTTATACGTGCAGGTATCATGGTCCTGTCTCTTCTTGCTCCTACTTCTTCTTCTTCTCCTTCACTCCTCGTACGAGTTGATAAATAATCACGGAGTGCGAGTACGGATATACTGGCGGCTGTACGGAAATACTGACAGTCTTGAGAGCATCAGCATACATGTACGTACTCGTACATGTAACTCTTTAGCCGTAATGCAGACCAATCTCCTGTAATGCTTATCACTCCGTACTCGTGCCATTACGCCGTACGGGTTACTCCTCAACGCCCGCAAAAGAGTAATACAGACTATTGTTACGGGGCGGAGCAATTGGTTCGACTGGTAAACTCATCCCTACTCCGTAGTTATTGCCGAGATAATACGTCGTATAAAAACCCTTCGTTCGCCTCCCGCGCCGCCCCCCCCCCCCCGGTCTGTTCATCCCAGTCCTGAACCCCCCAGTCTCTGTCCTTGCTTTCCCTTCCCTTCTTCTCACTTTTCCTTTCCTCTACAGATCATACCCATCGATGCCAGTCGTAATAAGTGATCATAATTCGAATACTGGTAATACCATTGACATCCATTAACATATTCGGCAACCTCCACCATCTCTTGTTTCTCCTCTCCTCTCCTCTCTCCTCTTCCTCTCTTCCTCTCCTCCTCTCTTTACCTCTTCCCTTCTCTTCCGCCTTCCGCTATACAAGTACTCTCCCCCATCGTCGACTTCAAATCCCATGGCATCAGCTGCTCCGTCCACAACACTGGCCTGCTCCTTCCTGGTCACGCCGGCTTTGCGCCCCGGCCCGCCCTGAAATGATGGAGTCGGCCATGGAAGCGATAATACAGCGGCAGATCGCGCCTCCATCACACCCCATGGTCAATCTGGACGGTGACCGCAGCATCCAATGTCCGAAAACCACCATATCATCATCAGACATGCAGACCCAGGAACAGCAGCAGCAGCAGCAGCAGCAGCAGAAGCTTCTGCATCTCCACCGTCGTCGTCGTCGCCACACCCTCCGCCACGAGGCAGGCTCGAGCTCACACCATCACGCCCGCCGTCCTCGCCAAGACAGCGGCTGCTCCGTCCCGGACTTGACCGAACCCGACGAGGCTCGGAACGAGACCGCGGATCTGGCACAAGCCCCTACCGTCATCCCACCCTCTCCCACCCTACGTGCAGCCTCCTACACGCCTGATCTGCCACCCATCGAAGCAGACGACGACGACGGCGACTTCTTCCGAGACGACGACGCGGAAGCGTTCGAGGCGCTCCATGTCGCCAGCCGCCATGGCGCGCCGTCCGCTGCCGATGAGACGCCAAGCCCTGCCGTCGCCTCCCACATAGACCGCGCGCACATGTCTACCCCGTTTATAGAACCCGACGTCGACAGCGATGGCATCGACGCTGATGAGGGCTTCTTTGAGGATCCCTCCTTCTTCGTTGCCGAGAAGGATACGATCCCCAGCAGCCCCACCGTGGATAGTCCTACCGCAGCGGAATATACCATCCCCCTACTACGGTACAGGAGGGCCTCGAACGCGGCCGCTCAGTCGGCCTTGCCGTCCGTCTACAACGCGCCTCGTATGCGCGTGAGACGCTCCAGAAGGGACATTGGTCGGCGGGTGCCGCCGCCGCCACCGTGACAACCGTCATCTCATGAGATTCAGGCCGTCGTCCAGATGTGATCTTTTTTCCCCTTTTTTCTTATATCATATATATCATCCGTCCGGGCTTCTCTCTAGCTTCACGCATACAGCTCCTCGGCCAAAGAAACACTCCGTCACAGTGTTGCGAGTACATATATCACAAAGAGCATACGCACACACACGCACTGGGCCTGGACACCAGACTCCTCACCCACTCATATGCACGTAGATGCATCATCATCTTTTGTCTTTTCCACCGTCACTTATAGCCAGCGTGTACTACTTTTCATACCAAGGCGTTTCTAGGAGCCAATCCCCTACAGTTGAATTTAATGGATGAACAAATACGTCGTTGTATTCGACATATACTGCCTTGTCCGTGCGTGTTTCACCGTTTCTTATGATGAATTAGTATCAGATGACTTTTTTTTCTTCTCTTTCCTGATACATTCAATCGAGTCCCGACAGTGCGTATCATCCATTTCCCCTCATTCCCATATCAAAAACGCATACATGGCGCGTACGGCGCACTCTCTCCTTTCGACAAGGGTTGAGATTGACTGCACGGTCGCCCGTTCGCTTTGTTGACTCCCATGTCACTATTATTATCATGATCATTACTCCCATGCATGGGCTGACGGACAAGGCACGCGCCCGCACGTCCCCCTATAAAAAATGTCGAACCAAGCTGACGGTATATTACGACGTAATGATACCACGAAATGCATAACTGGAACGTGGCCGTCTAATGAAGGTCAGAGAGCTATTGATTACAGGTCTCAAACTTCTTTTCGAGCCTCTGCTGACTCTCTCTCTCTCTCTCCTGTCGCTGCCGGGACGACAGGGTGTCATGGTGAGCACAATAGGTGGAGTGCAGCCGACTCCTCTTTCGGCTCACCAAGGTGACATTTTCTCTCAAAATGTCTCGGGTCCGCGCAGCTTTTTCCCCATGAGCCAGATCCCATTCAAGGCTAGCTAGTGCTATTCCGACGTTGCGAGTATATGCATGTATGCATATCGATCAAAACCTACTATCGACGAGCATCAATACTACATAAAATCAGGAGTAAGCCCTTAAACCAGGAACCAACCATGTCTCTGACGAATCGTCAAGCCGGGCAGGCTGATGGGACGGGGCCCAATCAGGGAACTGGAGACGATACTAGTACTTCGTTCGCAGCGATTCGTCTCCTGTTCACCTGCTAGAGGACAGATGCCGAGGTTTAGCTACCAACATGACTAGTGCATATCTCGTCTCTCTCTTCCTCCTGCCTCTTCGTCTCTCCGGGTGGGGGGGGGTTCTCACCCGCTGTCTTGCAGTGCGGAACACACGAACACGGCAATAACAATGGGCCGCTCGGAGGAAGAGAGAGGGGGGGAGAGAGAGTAAATCGCAATTGCTGAAGATTCGAGCAGATTGAACGACTAGACCAACCGGCAATGTCAATACGGTGGGGACTATACGAAGGACCAGGCCGGGCCTGTCACTGTCAAGATTATCATTGAGGTGCATATGTGCAATGATGATGGACGGTGATGGGCCATCTCTCTTCACCCCCCCTCCTTCTCTCACATCTCCATGTCTCCAGCTTCTTGTTGGGTCCCTAGGTTTTGCTAGACCAGCCTCACCCGACGACCGGTCCAACACATCACCTCTGTTGGATTGGATGGATGAAGGAGGTGTGGTGCCCGACCTGCATCGGGCGGGCCGTAGTGGCATGGTGGATCAATTCGAAGGCAGGAAGGGAAAAGCACAAGGGCCTCATCAGAAGAGAGAGGGGGGGGGAGAGAGAGGGAGAGAGCGTGTATGTGTATGTGTGTGTATGTGTGTGTGAAGCCTAGAACACGCGATACATACGGAAACTGGACACGAGTACTCACTCGTACTTTACTCATCCTCTAGTCCCGACAAGACTCAAG